TCTTTGCCATGGAGTCAGCACCTAGGTGAGCACTGCTGCATCTCAAGAGGTACCAGAAGTGAGGGGTTTTCTAGCCTTTTGTCTCAGCTGGGAGTTTTCTACCTGAAATGAACAGTCTTTTCCCTAGCATAAAATCAGTACACAATTAAATGCATATATGAGAGTAAGGTTTCGATGTTTACTTCACCACTTTACCCAGAGAAAGCCCTGAGAATAGCATTAAAGCAAGAGGCCAGCTGGGCCAACAGAAATGTTCACGGCTGGTTGCAGCACAGTGCTTAGCTGCAAGCATGGAAAATAACCCTCTACATCAGAGAGAGAAAAATGAAATATCTAAGGCACACTAGCCACTACGGTGGCTGAGTCTCTCCCCTTTTCACATGGTCGGAGATGCTGAACTCCCCTCTCTGATTGTTCTGGAGTGAAGTACTGCCTTGTGGTGCCACGGGAAAAGCAGACCCACAGAGTCCTGCATGTGATTCCCCGGCCAGGCAGCACGTGTCGAGGACAAGTGAAGTGACACATCCTGTCTTCAGAGAAGGGTCGGTCAGCTGTACAGCGGTTTGTGCCCTTAGCAGGTGCTTCAATGTCAAAGGTATTAAAGCTGGTTATTTTCAGCCCTGTGCCGAGTGCCAAACAGTCCTGTTCCTCCCCTACCCCCATTCTAATTAAATTTATAGGCAGCGACTATCAGCTGGCCAAAGAGTTGAGCTGTCAAGTTAAGAGAAAAGCGCCAGGAGCAAAAACCCCTCCAGCTGGAAAGACAGAGTTTCTGATGGTGGCTTTACTTTCTGGAAATTATCTCTCCCGTCTCATCTCTCATATGTTTCCCGATATATCTCATCTTTTTCTCTGTCTCTCACATACCCAGGTGCACACACGCGCACAGGCACATGTGAGTTATGTGCTATAGTGCCTTGCTTTGGTGGATTGCCTCTGTCTACATAGAAATATATATAGTATAGCTGAGGGCTCTATCCTTCTGTCAGCTACATCAGTGTAACACAGACTTCACCAGCAGTGAATACGCCTCAAATGATTTGACTCTAGACACAGTCTGTTCTGATTCAGCTGGAGCTAGCAAGAACATCCCTGGAAATCAGGCTTTCTCTGCCCAAAGTTTTGTGTTTCTTGGTACACAGAAATTTAACAGTAATTATTGAGTTCACTGTGGTAGAATCTGCATAATTAGTAAATCTTCATGACAGTCCCTGAAATTAGGTACTTGTAGCTTTAGAAAGGGTAGCTGAGATACAAAAATAATAAGTAAGTTGACTAAGATCTTGGAAAGAATCATTAGTGGAACTAAATTTCAGTCTCAAGAATGTCTGACAGCTGTCTTTCTCAGAGTATCCCATGGAGCAGAGTCCCCAGTAGGCGTTTGGGGCTGCCAGGTGTACTGCCTGCCTTCCACCACAACTCTGTGAATTAAACCCTTCTCTAGTCAATTCAGCAAAGACATATTACTGAATCCTCTTCCATTAAATCCTACTAAATTCAGGGGACTTTTGATCTTAAAACCTGGAGCCTTAGAAAATGTAAAAATCCTTCAGCCTTAAGGCATCCATAAACAGACAGAGAAATAATTGTCATGTAATGCCTACTACTGGACCCTGTATCCCATACTATTCAGAACTCAACAATGACAAGAACTGGCTGGAAAAAACATCATCATCACCATCATCACAATCCAGTTGAAACGGGCACCTAGTTGCCTACATTAGTATTTGCCACAGAAATTGGTTGATAACTTTGCTCTTGGGAGGGAAAACAAGGACTGTACTGGAGGTGTCATGGGCTATGAGAAATATGGGCTTTCAGCTTTAGAGCATTTTGCAGCTCCCAGATGATCTTGCTATGACTGCATGGTGCAAAGCTGTCCCAGAGCTAGAACCTCATGCACCACCAGAAGACTTGTTGCAGAAGTTCTACAGGCAGGTCCCTGATAAAGTGTAAAAGCTTGGTCACAGCCTCAGGACTGATTCTTCCAGCAAGGCACTAAACTAAGAGGTCTTCACATGGTGAACATCTCCCACAGCTTTTGGCTTTGCATTAGGGGGTTCTTCCAGGCCTCAGTCCCAAATAACCTCTTTAAGACTGTCTGACGCTATGGTGACTCCAGAGACACCTGCACCTGACAGGAAGGGGCAGCCCCAGGATCTATAGGATATTCCCTTTCCCCTATTGAATTGCCCTTCAGGAATTCACCTGGCCTATCCCTGCCTTAGCCTGGGATATGTGATAAGATCACAGCCAGCAGTGAAGTATCAGAAATACCATACAAATATATTTCCTACAGCCCTTTCTGAGGATCATTTTAGCCAACCAGATTTGTTTGGGCTGTGATGTGTTTTTGCTTGCTCACCCTTCAGAGAGCATTGACTGGTCTCTGTGTCGCAAAGCAAGAGCGCTCATCCGGGTCATTTCTCTCTGACTGGATCGAAGGAGGAGAACAATTATGATTAAGCTAACCCTTCCAGAGGCTGCACACAAAGCCACCAAAGTAGGAGGCTCAGGAGAGGTTTGTAGTGCACTGCTGAACACATTCCAGTTGGCTTTGAAGCAAGTTAAACAAACCGGGGGATGAAGTGATTCTGGTTTCTATACCTTGAGGATGAGGCACTGAACTGCAAAGCCCAAAACCGATCTCCAGAGTTTTCATACGAAAAACTCCCTTCACTGTCCCACTACCTCTGTGGTTCTGAAGAGTTTCCCAAAAGCATAAAAAGTCAGATCAGGCTGAGGGGAAGGACATACAGGAACTGAGTGATAAGAAGTTTCTTAGGCAGATGGTGGAATAGGGGATCTGCAAAAGGTGCTGAGTGTCCATAGGAGATCTGGGGCTGAGGGAAGATGGGGTACTTTGGAAATTAGGAGGGGGGGGGGAAAAAAAGAAAGACTACATGATGGTTGGCATAGGTGAGACAGAGAAACAAGTTCATGTGATACACTACTAACCTTCTTAAGTAAAATCAAAAGACTGAGGATCAGGGGGCAGTTTAGGTCTCCTCATGAATGGCTAAGATTTAAGATGCTCTAAGAAATAATCTGGACAATTTATCATTGCTTTCCCCCCCACAGAGAGGATAATTAATGCTGTAAAATGGAGTAGGCTCAGTGCACCCCTTTCTGATGTCAGGGGCCCATTTTAAGGTCAATGATTGAAATGCTCTGACGGTGTCAGCTGAGCTTTTGCGTCTGTTGCTAGGATTTTACTCACCAAGGACTCTTAAGGTGATGTATGTTCATTAGTTTACAAGAAGATATAATTACCAATCCAAACTGCACCATGTTTCATTTGCTACTAACCTTCTGATTCACCTAGGTAGGTGGCAATGAGTGCATTTGCTAACTGGTGATTACCAAATTAGTTGCATGATAAACCTTTTTCAACATACCTTTTAGGAAGAAAAAAACTAAAATGAATAATGAGTTGATTTTTTCTTTCAACATGCTATAATTTTTATTCATTTAACTTGAGCCAATTTATTAGGAGAGGGAGAGAGCTTGTATTCCTTTGCACTCCTTTTGCAAAAGAGGCAACCAACAGGAAAAATTCTGAATGTAGTTATGTTTTAAAATCCACATTAATTATAAATACACTTATTCTTTATAAAGGCAGGCTCTGCAGCCTGGTTAGGGGAGGGAATGGGGGGTCATGTATAAATTGTCTCCCAAGGACCCCACTGAAATTTCCATAGCATTCACCATATGACACTGATGTGTGAAAATTGACATGAAGATTTGAAAATTGGGACCGAGGGAGACCAAGCATAAAATAACTTCAATTTTGCGCTCTCTCTGTCTCTCGGAGGAATAGTGCAGTGGACTGACCAACACAACACAAACAAGCGAAGAGGAGAGAAAAAAATATTCAGGGAGAAGGATAGGAGTTATTAAAGAGAAAACACACTCCTCACTCACAGAGAGAAAGGATGATCAATGGATTTAGTCACAGAGAAATTCAAGCAGAAAATTGCTGCTGTTTTTTATCTGAGAGGCAGAAAGTTTAACCAAACCAGAATTCTCTCAACTCACTCCAAGGCAAACGGTGGAGAAAACCGCTGTATTTTGAAACAGTAGGAAAGTGTATGTGCATGTGTAAATTTTTGTGTGCAATTTTACAATTTTATGATGCCAAATGAATTGTTAGGTAGAGCCCTTCCCTCCAGAAGTCTGCAATATGGAAGATCTTATAAACTCTTTATACTCTGCCACGAGTTTTGAAACCCTGCCAAAATTAGAAAGCCAACCTCTTGCAGCATGAATAGCTAACAGGCTGTAGATAGGGTGGAGTCACTGGACTCAGCTGCTAATAGAGAAATCCCATTCCTTCTTCAGAAAGAGAGTAAACCCATAAAATCAGTGAAAACCGATCAGGAAAAGACTCAAAAAATCAAAATTAAATGTTTCAGGCCTGTCTCCTGTAGCTTAAATTGTAAGGGGTTAAACATCTCACTCTGGACATATTTGTACCATTTTGAGATGCTAGGTATGTTTTCTTAACTCCTTCTCTTTGGGATGATATGTGGTGCTGAGTGTGGTTTTTTAAAACCAATTTTTAGCATTCTGGAGGCTCTTGCTGGCACTGTCTGCATACACAAAATCATCCCAGCCTTAGGACTGGCTGTTAGCGCTTCCAAAAACCAGGATCACTATGCAAAGGCAGGAGGTACCAAAGCATCATTGAGCAGTGAAAATAACAACATACTTCTGGAGTTTAACTGCTATTCTGGGAATAGATATACATAACTTTCTTAGTACTGATTCGGTGTTCAATAGTTCGCATCCTTGGATTATTGGTCAAAATTCCAACCAGGGTTGGAAATTCACTTTAGGGCCTCAGCAACACCATCCAACCCTCCTGCACGGTCATGCAGACAGACAGATATCCTATCTGTGTGTCCATGGATGTTTCTCAAAATCCAGATCTGTTATAAGCTTGGTTTTAAAATACTATATTTGATCCAATCTGCTCTAGATAGACACTCAACACTCACCATCACCACCGGTGCTGAGTGTCAGTCTTGTTGCTAGTGCTGCTACTTCCTTTTGGATCACATGTTGTTTGCTGTTCTCTGTTATCCCAAAGATATCTGCAAGACAATGGAAATATACATCTATACATTTGTTATGGAAGAAAACCTATGTATATAGATAGAGATGAGTTATAGATACACACACACACACAGAATTTCTAGGTTGGAAGAGACCTCAAGATCATCGAGTCCAACCTCTAACCTAACACTAACAGTCCCCACTAAACCATATCCCTAAGCTCTACATCTAAACGTCTTTTGAAGACTTCCAGGGATGGTGACTCCACCACCTCCCTGGGCAGCAGACAATGTTTAAGCTTTAAAAGTAACCGTTCTCTAGTTCCCTGAGTCCTAATGTAATTCTCAGTCAGACAGGATGCACTGCACAGTCCTGAACACTCTACTGCCCTACCAGACTATTTTTCTTGGACTTACTTACCTTATTTTATTTAGCTTTGAGGCACATAAGATTCCTTGATAATATGATGATCTACAAGACCAATATTCATATGCTGTGGATCTCATGTATTACAAAGTGAAGAATCATAGAATCATAGAATATCCTGAGTTGGAAGGGCGTCTTAAGGATCATCAAGTCCAACTCTTGACTATAAGAATAATCTTGACTGTAAGAATATAATAATAATAAGAAGAATCATGACTATAAGAATATAATAATGAAAAATAGACACAGCCATCTTTTCACTCTCCAGGGTATCTCAGCACCCTTATGGATGGCCGCACATATAGTCAGCACCATAGAAACCAATGGGGGGGAAATGGCAGCACACTCACTGTTCAAAGCTGGAATGCCTTCGGTCTAGAAGCATATTTCATCCATAGCTTCTGTTGAAGACTATATTACAGAAGGTACTGAAGGAAAAAAAATAAAATAGTATTTACATTTTTTTTGAAACAGAGTGGTTACATGTGGAGAGATGGGCCTTGTAGGTACTGAGGAACAGGCAGAAAGGAAAATTCTCTATTTCAAAAGTCTGTAGGAATTGTCTTTAAACACCTTAAGGATTTTCAAGAGTGGCCAAAGGAGGATTTTCCATGACTCACAGACTAACACAAGAGCTGCCCATCATTGACTCTTAGTGCTCTACTGAGCATGAAAATAGTGGCATGAAAACAATCTGAAAAGGCGTTGCAGGTAATTTCACAGGGTAACAAGGAATGCCAGGCTCATCCTAATTACTAGCACTGGGGACATTTAAATTAAGTGCTGGGATCTTTAGGGCAGCTTCTATATTTCACACACTTTTTTTTTTCTTTTGTAATTTTTGTATTTTATGACAGTCCTTATATAGTAATATAAAATTAGATGTCTTTTTATGTGCCTCCTTTTAGTTTGCAAGTTGCACTTAAAATATGGTTTTGAGCTTCTTTCTACAACTAAAAAATCTAGGGCATTGTATAAAAATAAATAAATAAAATTCTCCCAATGATCCCTTGATTCTAACAGATGAGGCTTTAAGGAATGCCATGAGAAAATTACAAGAATTAACAATAGAACGATAATAATAATAGTAATAATAATACATGAACCAAAAATAAAATGCAAGGCCACAGTACCTAATGACTTCATTGTTTTCTTTTACTATCCTGTTGTAATACACTGGCCATGAGCCGGCATTGCCTTGAAATACAGTTTTGTTGTGAAGCTGTCTTTTATTTATTTACTTAAATCTATTCACACTCCACCTGAACATGACAAAGTTGATGCCATCGTCTTTTTAATAAACTCACATTGTCAAGTTGCATCTATTTCACAAAACTATGAGATAAGAATTTTGTCCAGTATTTTCATTATTAAATCACTCAAGGAGTCCTTCTAAGAATTAATTTTCTGATGGAAGGATGTCTTCCATCCTCTGTCTTGTTTAAATGTTTGTGTTTCAAATACTGTTTAAAGTACTTGAATTTCTCACCTTTAGATCCTTCTCAGTTTGTGTATGATCTTTATGGTCTTTTTCCTCTAAGAGGCCCACTCACTCCAATAAAAAGGTGATTTTCAAAAGAATTTCTGTCTTTATTTATATATAATCATAGTACAGATTGCATCAAATGCCTTAGAACATACATATAAAACACTCCTGGCTGGTTTCATGCAGCTGGGAGATAGTCGTCTCCCTGTGAAGTTTGAGATGAAATATTCAAATGAAAAAGAAAGAAAAAAAAAGATATCACCTACCTCAAAAAGGTCTTCAGAAACCTGCTGGGGAAAGTTTGAGGAGCAAAGATAGGAATGATATACCACCATTTTTAAGAAAGGATGGACGAATCACCTCGACTGCTACTACAGAGAAATGTTTTTAAGGTTATTTTCAATTCCAGAGCAATAGTAGTAAATAATTTGCAAGCTCTCCTGAACATTTTAGCTAGAAAAGAGAGATTCTCAGAGACAAAAAAAAAAAAAAAAAAAAAAAAAAAAAAAAAGGTATAATAGACCATTGGCTGCTGTATAATTGTTCCAGCCACAGAGGTTGGAACTACATCCAAGCTTTCTCCAAGTCTGACACAGGGCATATATTGAAGTTGGAGACAGTTCAGTGAGAGCTTATTTGGACTATATAGTTCTGTCAAAATGCAAGCACTTTACATACAGCTTCAGAGGTAAAGATGGAAGTATAAAGTTACTACAGTTCTAAAATGTCCACTTTAAGCAGCTTGGAAATACAGTAGCTTGTTTGTGTTTTGCAATTTTTTTTTCTACAAAATTTTACATATATAGATATACATACATATCTACACATTTTTGTATATACATATATATATGTCTATGCATATATATACATACATGTAGAATTTAGTCTATTAATGTGAAATTATTCTAAAAGTCAAAAGTCAATATAATGCTGACTGAAGGAGATATAATCTTTAACTTCAAATACATCAGAAAGAAAGAATCGCAACCTCATATTCTTTTACGAAGTAGAGATCTGCAGTGGGTTAATCAGACTTTTGCATTTGGAAGCAGAAAGCAAAGGAAGAAAATGTCTGACTAATCTTATTGTAGATGCCATGGCTAAAATCAACAAAATGTATAGAAGAAACAACCCTTCTTGGTTTTTAGGCACCCCATTTTTTACAGACAGACAAGACTTCTTAAGGACATTCTTGCTATCTTAATACCTCAATCTTATTCAGTGTCATTTCTGAATGAAACTATTGTTGAGGCAACAGTGAGTTGCATAGCTCCATCAGCCTTCTTTAATTTGCTTGGAGATTATGGGAAAAACCTCTATAAATCAGTTTTATGACCTCATGAAAAACTTACAGTTGTATGGCATCACTTGCATGAATTATGAGATAGCCACAACAAGGACCAAAGATGTCAAGGACGCCAAAGCGAAGCTTTATGTACCCTGGGACATGGCATTGCATTTCTCAAATCTACAGTTGGCAGAAAGACTGAAGGCAGATATGGAATCTAAACTTCCCTCTGTCTCCTAAATGCAGAGCAGTGATTTGGAAAGGCTGTGAAGACATTGTTAAAATAGTCTTGAAAAGGGTCATTAGTCTGAAGATGTAGCAATTTAATTCTTCATTAGCATTATAAAATAAGCAGTATGTACACAGAAAAAAAAAAAAAATAATCATATAGTTCTTTAAAAAAGAGTTCAGGACAAATGCGTTTTTTTTCCCCAAACCAAAAGTTCTATTTTGAAATTTGCATAGTGCTTTTTGCTAAGAGACTTCATGTAGTTGCAGTGGCAGCCACATAATTTTTATTGTCATCACAAAATAGACTTCCTGTTGCTCTTTCCTCAAATTCGTTCTCCTTTAACATGACCTCCCAGTGTTTTGCTCTGATGTGTCAAAATCAAAAGTCCCAATCCAAGCATCACTGAACTTTATGACATTTCATGGTACTGTAAGCCTAAAGCAAAGACTGAATTTTGCAATTTAAAGGATAACCTGAGAGACAAACACCTGGAGGTCAGGTTTCTCAGTGTGTTAGAGATAGTCACATGTATACCAACTGTAAGTTATATAATTTCAACATAGAAACACTTTATAGCAACAAACTAATTTTGTCAGAACTACATTTTCAAGGAAAAATGAAAGAAAGATTCTGACTGTTAGAGAATCCAGGCCAGCTTTTTGAGGGGACACAACAGTATTTGGCTTTGCACTTTAATTTTCTACCATATAGTAGAGAATTAAAAGAAAAAAAAAAAAAAAAGTTCTATTTTGTCAGTTATTTTATTTTATTTTATTTTTTATTGACACCAAATAAATCTTAAGATGCTTCCTGGCAAAAGTATTGAATGTTTCCATTGTCACTCCCATTGAAAGCAGAGACAGACTCCCAAGTCTTACTCCCTTTATGCTGATTAAAATGTTTATCCTCCACCAATGGCAGCAATGCTCTGTTTAGGCAGCCCAAACATAACCCTCCTGTGAGTTCCCAGAACAGAAGAGGCAGAAGTTTCTGGGCTCAGCCTGAGTGAAATTTGGCCAGGCTGATGTCCTCTCACCTCCTTTCTGTCCCCCATAGATCACTATGCTATAGCAAAATGTCCGGCAACTGGGGTCAGATGCAATCTGCTCTCCCCTCTTTGATTTTTACCTTGTCTCTTCTCTTCCCTCTCTTCAGATACCCCTTTGGCTAGTTTGGGTCACCTGTCCTGGGTCTGTCCCCTCCCAGCTCTTACTGCACCCCCAGCCTGCCCGTTGGCAGGACAGAGCAAAAGGCTGAGATGTCCTTGGCTTAGTATAAGCACTGCTCTGCAACAATTAAAGCATCGGGGTGTTATCAGCACTCTTCTCATCCTAAGCCAAAACACAGCATTCCACCAGCTACTAGGAAGAAAATTAATTCTGTGCTAACTGAAACCAGGACACCTTGTGACTTCTCTTGCACCTTAGTTATATTCTGGGAGAGGATACGAGGAATCTGGGCTTGGTGTTGTGATTCAAATAAGCCCATATTTTATTTTAATTGCTCTCAGCATCCTCTTTGTAACAGAGAGCTGAGATGATGCACTTTCAGCTTTCTCCATTCCCGGGGTCTGCTCAGCTTGCTATTTCCACTAATGCTCTCACCCAGGCCCTGCTCTTTGAGCCAATCCTCTGAGCTTCTTCTCTCTCCTTTTTTTTTTGTTTTCCCTCTGCCATTATTCCAGGTGGTTACCCATCCCATTTCACTTACTCCAGTGTGTCACCAGGCTGCTGCCAAAAGCTCTTCTGTTTTTTCTCCTGTTGTGTTCACTCTTTCTCTTTTTTAAGTTTTAATCTCAGCCTTAGGTGAGGTGCACTGAACAGACATGATGAAGCTTTCAGGATGTTAGAAAGTAAACTGCTGGAAGAGGTCAGTGAGAGCAGAAACCAATAAAGCACAAGAAGGAAGTTTGATACGTACGAACAAAGCAATTGGTAATGATGTGAAATAGTTGGGTCAAATGAGGGCTGTGCACAAATGAAAAGATTCACCTCCAAACACCTGAAAAGTTTACCTAACCTGCTTTTCCTTGACAGGAGCTAGTCTGTTGCTGTGAACCACTGCTAACAGCTTTACACCCTGCTTTTATTTTCACATCTCCACACACACATGAGCATCTGGCCATCAGCAGTGGGGTGGATTCTTTTTCAAAAGAAACTCCTTAAATCCTATAAGCTTCCTGCATCCTTTTCTCTTCCATTCATTGCCACTTATTACCTGAAAAGCGTGATTTAAGACCAGGTTTCCAATATCCTCTCTTAGCACCAGTAAAGCCATTGAATTCAAATGGATGGCCTCTGATGTATGGGATTGTTCGGCATAGAGGTGGCCTCGCCGAGCTACTACTTCATCAGGCAGCAATCAGATAGTGCAGCTCCCATTAAGGAGGGCAAATTTCCCAATTTGCCAGGCAGGGGATGTTTGCCTACAAAAGGAAGATTCTTTTTTGAGATAGATTTCACTTCTAGATCCCCAGACTTACTCAGGAGAAAAAAAAAAAAATATATATATATATATATATATATATAAACTGTCAACTCGGATTATCCCATTTTCATGCTTAACAAAAACTAAGTTTTTAAAACAGGTGATGAAAACAAATCAGAATAGTGAGATATTTTGACGACCACAGTATATTTGAGATTGTTTCCTCTCTTTCCCTCCCTTTCTAAGGTGGTGGCAGCGTAAGATGAGAAATATTCTCTGTCCTTTGAAACTTGCAAGTTGAGGCTCTGCTCTTGGTACAGCTTTAAGGGATAGAAATGAAATAATATTTTCATGAAATAATATTTTCATGAAATTCTTTAGAAAGTGGAGAACTTTCTGTTGTTTCCTCACTGTCTCTGTGTCATCACTGGCCTCCTCTAAGGAATCACCCTGACACTTCCACGATGGCAGTGGTAGAGCGACCTGAAGGGAATTAAATTTCTAGTGCCTTGCTCAGCTGGCCTCTGCGACATGACTTTCTTGTTCTCTGGGAAGGCTGCCAGCCTGCCAGCTGCAGCCTGTGCCACCCCTTGGTGGACCTAGAGGGCACTTTCCTAGACCTCAGTGAGGGCAGCATTTATTAAAAGGAGAATTAAAATATTAATAGGATAAATTATTATTTTATTTTTGTTTTGCTAATGACAAAGAACTTCATTTCTCCATACTTGGAAGCAGTTATATACCCAACTATGCCAATCTCAATATTATCTCAGATGGGTACTTGCTCCCTGGAGGCCCTTAGGGGAACGACCTTATGTCCCTCTACCTTTGATAAAGCACTGCCTGCATGCATATAAATCAATTAACATCATCAACTTATGCTAATTTTGAATTTAGATGGCAGGCTGGAAATAAACAGAGGTGTTTATGACTGTCTAGAAAAGAAAACACAATGACAAGCTTCCCTCCTCCTCACCGTACGCACAAAACTATACCCACACCATACGCACACACACTGCCAGCCAGCCAGCCCTTGCCCCACAAGAAGCCTTCATTTAGCTGCTTGTGCTCTCTCTGTTTTCTAGGGGGATTTTGACAAGCAGAGCAGCCAAAATAACACACTGCAACACATAAACATCCCTTGTCAACCATTTACTCGGCTTTGCTACTCTGCCAGTTGCATTCCTGATTTTGTTGTTTTTTTCTGGTGTTGGTTTCTTTAATTTAGGATACTCCGAGGATTGGGGGGTTACCAGCCTGGCATGGAAAAGACATTTAGAAGTGGAAAGGATTACTCAAACCATGAAGAGAATTTCTTTTTTCATAGTCTGACTATCCATAGGAAACAGCACGTCACAGCCTCCCCCACCCCACTGGAAGCACAACTTACCACAGGAGTAGTCAGGAGCCGTGCTGACATCTCAGGTCCCAACAACTGCAGGGAACGTTTCTGTAAACATGTCCAGGGTGAAAACTGAGCCTTAAACCACAGAAGACAAAAGCAGCCCCAGCAGCCTTTGTGATCAGATGTAGGGAAAAATTCTTTCCTGACTTCATCGCTGGTAAGTAGGTGAATGGTTCCTATGCAGCCAAGGCACTGCAAGCAGACACCCAGGGAGCTTTAAGGTCCTACAGGCTCATCAACAGAAGCTCCTTGTGTTTCATCCTGGAGGACTTCCCCTTTCTCAGGCTCTGCGTGTGTCTGGGCACAAGCTGGGCAATGTGTTGAGTATGAGGGTGCTGTTCAGAGAACAAGACACTTCAGTATATGACATGTTTAATGGAAGACATGCAGAACTGTGTGCTGAGAATCTATTGTCTGCCACTGACATGTCTTCATGATAAACATATTCATGAACTAGGGATAATTTTTATCTCTGATTAAAGCTGTGAGCAGGCACAACTCTTTTCCAATTGACAGCTCTGGGCAAGGAATGGATATGGCAGAATTGTCTAAAATACAAGTCAAGTTAATTTCTTTGGATCCTGCAATTCTCATCAACATGGGCATTTTCTGACAATCTGATTTACTTACCATCAGTGCCCAGCTATCTATGCCAAGGCAAAGAAAAACAGAGGACATATGCTGAAAAATTTGTAACATGGTCCCCTAATCAAGTGCTGGCTCCATCCTGTATCCTGTTATAAATTGTAATCTACATTGTGTCTACTGTACACATGTCATTATTCTTTCCTCTGATATCTCAAACAGCTCTGCCTGATTGCATTTAAATACTTTTTTAAAGTCATTATTGGTTCTCCTCTTATTTATATGTTGCTGGGCTCAGTGGTTATCTTCTTTTCTTATTAGCAGAGGGACTCAAGGTTACTTTTATTCTTCATATCCGAGGAGCCAATTAACTTCCAGCCTCCCCCAATGCCATCCCAATAAATAGAGGCTGCTGTAGCCATATTTCCTTCCAGAGGGAGACCAGGATGTTCAGCCAATTCTGAATTCACTCATAGTGATACTGCATGGTTGAGATATTCAAAGGACTGACTGCTTGCCTGACTGCTCTGTGAGCTGCCTTCTTTGTCATGTTTCTGTTGTGCTCAGAGTTTTTGTGTATCCCTTCCCAAAGGAAACTCATTCCTGAGCAATACTATGGCGAGAATATCTCTTGTCAGAGGTGGGAGAGCTGAAGGGCTTTTATTTATTTATTTATTTGGGGGCTTGACAATAAAATATATTTTTTCTCTCTTTCTTCCTTCAGTCTCCCTACAAGTCCACAAAATACTTTGAAAATTATTTATCCTCCATTTAAAACTGCTGGGGGCCAGGCCAGTCCCTATGTTTTCTGGAGCAAGGAATTAAAACACCGTAGCAGCTTTCATGGGAACAGCTGTCCTAAAAAGAGAGCAAGGCACAGGCACACCCAGGGCACAGCCTCTCCATAAATAATGTGGCTCCAGCCCTCTTAAATATCCTCAGTAAGTCTCACTAGGCGTTGTGGGGAGCCATTATATTCGCTCAAGTCCATGCAGCCCAGCAGCATAAAGCTGCTTCTCTGCTTGGGGGCAGAGGAGTAGCGCCAGCACCCGGCACTTGCTGAAGCTGGCAGACTGATGAGGCAGCAGTGTTTATGGTGGTCTCTCCCTTTTATGCATGGCTTTCTCCTGCTTTTGCAAATCCTTTTCCATCCTTCAATGTGGGGGAAGGCGAGACCATGCAGGTGGCCGTGTGCCCCAGGACAGGGAGAGTTATGTGACTGAAAGTTGGCGAAGGCCCGCCGTCGACTTGAGTCCCAGCTGGTGGCACTACATCATCCCTGCAAGGCCCCTGAGGTGCCTCGCAGGAGGGGGAGGGCAGGGATCAAGCAGGAGTCAAGGTCAGAAAGGCAACACAAGGGGAGCTGGCTCCTTGTGGAACCAGAGAGGGTGTTGTGAGCTTGGGGCTACCCAGCTATGGCCATGAAACTAGAGAAGGGGGGACAAAAAGAGCCAGTTTCACACAGCAAAGTGCAGTTTGGGTCTGCAAAAGAGGCCTGTGCTGATCTGGAAGGCAAAGAGGGTCACGATGGGTGGCTGTGAGCAACATACAGTGAAGGATGGAGTGCCAAATCTTGCCAGCAAGGAGCAAAGGAACACCAAACCTCCATTTGTGAACCTAATAGGCGTGTGACACAAATGTGGTGGTAGTAGTTGAGCCTTCCCATCTGGCACCTCTGATTAATCAAAGGCCTCTAAAGCCAAGGAAACCTCTGAAAATATCCATCAACAAGAGCTGAAAGAGGGAGAGAAAGTAAGGCAACCCCAACTGTGTCTGCAGAGGCTGTGCTTGATGCTAACAGGTGGTGATGAACATCGCATGATTTAGAGCTCAGAGGGGAATAGGAATCTGAAGGATCAAATATCATTCCAAAACACAACCAGGCTTTGGGACCTGAACATTCGGGCTCTGAGTCTTCCAGGACAGACATGAACTTGAAAGCAGGAGAGGAAATGTGGAAATCGGCTCCAGCTCAGCATTTCTTGCTTTAAAATTGGGTTGATTTTTAAATGATTATAAAAGAAACGACTAGCTCACCTGACATGCCTACTTCCTCTAGAAAACAGAAAAATATGAAGCAAAGTCTGCTTTTGTTCATATCCTAGACAAGTATGCCAACCCCATTTCTTTCTTTCAATAGCATTTTGCATCTCTTACCCATTAAGTTGTGATGACACCTGTACCCATACCCTGTACGAATGCTGATTGGAAGGATGAAGACTGGCAGAAGTACAATCTACAAGTGATTTATGAGCACAATTCAGTAGCTCTTGTCAATATGCTTTATGAACAGCCTGGTTCCTTGAATTGCTGTAGGCATCATTTCTGCAAAGATACATACAGGTCTCAGGTGCTCTGCAGGCAGCAAGAGCTCTGCAAGACACCAAGAAAGTAAAGGAGAAGGGATGGAGTAATCAAATCAGAAACTGCGGAGGAGGGAAAATTCATTATCCCAAAATTGCAGGACTGAAGTTCAGCAATGGAAGAAGCTCACTGGTTTGGAAAAATCTTGCCTGGAAACATTTGAGGACTTCCTTACCATTGTCCCCAATATCCTTAGCAGTTAATAGCACCCTGTTCTTCTCCTCGAGCAGAGACCTAACATAAAAAGAGTTTACTCATCTCACAGTTTATACTAAGAGGTAATATTAACCAGCACAGGCTAGCATATCAAACCCATGGTAAATAGGATCCGAATTGGTGCTGACAAAGATTGGGTGGGGAGACTGCAGAGAGAGGAGAAGGATTCATTTTCTTTCTCTATTGTGTCAGAATGAACCCTTTGAAAAGAGGACAGTGCAGCTTTAATAATAAATAAAAAATAAAAATAAAAAATAAAAAAAAAAGAAAGAAGGAAAGAAAGAAAAAAAGAAAGAAAGGTGCCTCAGTTGTCTCGGCAGCTGATCAACAAAGGAGCAGTCGTGAGCTGTAACCTCTTGGAGCTGCAGTCTGGAACATGACACATGTCAGCCTATGATAAATGGTGCGGAGTGTGTGCAATTTCAAGCGCAATGCCCTTGAGATGCTCAGGACCCCGATCGCAAATGTTATTGTTAAATTAAACCTTAAAGGAAGGATTGGAAAGGGGAGGGGTGGGTTTGTGCGTGTATGTGCGTATGCGCATGCGTGGGTATTTATTTATATATATATATATATGGATATATGAAATACACAGAAGAGACAAGAAAAAGCAGCAAGATGAAGAGAGAAAAACTTTGTATTCTTTTTAATTGAATTGTGCATCTTCTAGGTCTGGCTGAGCCATGGGAGAACTTCTGGCAGGATTTTCTGTCCTACAGCCATTTTATTACCTTTGCTCCATCACAATTTGATAGCTAGAGATCAGCTAACGTAGGTGAGTGTGAGAATGAAAAGCAAACAAATAAGTAGGTACCTGCCACAGATGTGCAGCTCCTATAGCTCAAGCGTTCTGCATCCAGATAGCTTTTAATCCAAATGAGTGAAGTTTCAGAGAGTTTTGAGGGCTAATTTGGGGAATTGCCAGTCTCTGAAGGTGTGTTTGTTAGTTAAGCTGTTTGATGGCATGTGTTTGTTCTTTCTGAGGCAAACATTTAAAAGCATCTCTGAGAAATAGGGGTGGTATTCACAGCCTTAACGTACCTTGGGGAGCACAGGGTTAGGTCACTGCAATTCCTGGAGGTAGATTTCATCCCCAGCTTATAGGTACAGCCCCAAAGTTTGGAGGACACTGCTTCTATGGTGCCAGAATCCTACTTTTCCTGTGGTTTAAACATTGGAGGTGGAACAGAAGCAATTAAGACATTTTTCTTTAGACAAGAAATTGCAATAATAAAAGTGGTCAAGGGGTATGGAATAGAGAAGGAAACAGAATGAGTGAGAGAAAAAATAGCCACCCCTGCATCCAATCAACCACCCCAAACAACCTTTTGCCAGGAGAGGTGTTAAGGAGGGCTCACCAAGCCTTACTCTCTAGCTTTTGCTTCATATGGGTGGAGCGGAGAACAAGGACCACATCTTCTGCAATCCCATCTCTGTAGCTTCCAGGTCCCTCCTTGCTCCCTCTGGAGAGACAAGATCCAACTGCTTCCATGCTGGGAATGTTTCTTGTCACCCTGGACCTGGACTTTGACTTGTTCTTCTCTTCCTTTCCTTCTGCTGCTTATTTTACATCTTCAATCTTTCACATGTGCAGAGGAGTCTCCAGTTTTAACTCATCCAGATCCCTCAGAAGTCCTTTCTTTACCTTCTGGCTTTCCATATTCCCTCCCCCATGGCATCCATGCTAAGTGCAATTACTGTAGGCAGTGCAGGAAACACAGAAGAGAATGGAGCTGTGTAAATGAGGGGGAGGACATGGAGGGGAGAGGTATGGGGTGGGAGATGCTGGAAAGTGTTCAAGGGGAAATGCTTGCATGACTCGCATAATTGAAGGGAAGAAAGAAGCAAATGAACAACATAAACCTTCCACTTGAAAAGGAGATGGGAAAAGCCCTTAAATCATAATGAAAAGAAAATTCAAACAAGCAATAAAAGGTAACAAAGGACTACCAATGACTCATTAAGTAAGATATATTGTTTGCTCTAATTTCTCCCAAACACAAGATAAACCCGTTGGCCAGGAATGACCAGCATAAGTGACTTCCATGACCTATATAAAACACCTAGGACAATGAGAATGTAGCAGAGACCTGGCCCCATCAGCCATATCCATCTGCTTATTGTCCCTGGTTGCCTCTACAATAACTCCTTGTCTATTAGAGCCTTTAGAGTGACATGACAATATTATAGCCAAGGTTCAGATTTGAGAAATATAATGAAGGCAAAAAGCACATTAGATACCAAAGTACTAAGTATTATTATTTTTAGAAGGCATCTTATGAACATCCTACGGCTTGTTTTGTACTTTTTGGCTACCGTTGCCTAGCGTCCAGGAAAAGTCAAGTCCTTTTTCGGTTCTTTGGAACATTTTCCCCATGTTTCTTGTTATTAAAGAAAATAAACATTAGACAAAAGCAGACTTTATTGTAACTATAAATAATTCAATGCAGATGGATTCATGGAAAATACCAGAAGGCAGATTTTGAGAGAGAAAGAAAGAAGAGTGCTCTAAGGTTAGATGGTGAGGAAAATAGAAAGGGTGAAGAGTCAAGAAACTGCAAGATCTCAAGGAGAATAGATACAAACAAGGAGGTAACTAATGAGAAGTAAATGAAAATAAAGGTAACTTGAAAAAGCAATACAGCCTGTATAAAAAGTTCATGGTTTTAGTTACAAGTTTAGTTCCTGCCACTGTGGAAAAGAAGACATTTGCTATCTGTCTTGGGAGAGTACCATAGAGATCCATTTAATAATATCCCATACCGATGTGTCACCTACAATTGGCAGTTGCAAATAACGTCAAGATGATTATTAAACAACGGATCCTCCCAACTAATACTTAGATGTGACAACCCAGACTCAGGTGTGTGGCCAAGCTCATCTCAGAGAACAGTCCAGCCACACACAGGAGTGAATTGTTCCATTGCTACTTTTTTCACAGAATTATGTGGGCTCAGAATCCCAAGTGGTTCACATGGATGGGTGATACAGTGACAGATGCCTGGGAAAAAAAAAGCTCTTTTGGTTGAATAAATCTACTTGATATTCAATGTTCTGTGTTAGCTTAGAAAAATGCCCTTTGCATTACCTTCTCTTGAACCAACAGACAGCAGTCCTTATTTTTCTAAACTGCAGGAGCCCTTTAAAACAGAGGTGAAATACAGTAGAAATGTACTTTAGTGGGAAGCTTGGAAATCCAAAGTCTACTCTCAACTCTGATATCAGCTCACGATGCAATATAAATCTGGTTGCACCATACCTCAAGGGGGTGGGGGGGGGAAGATCTAAAAACAATTCAGCAGGGCTTCCAAGTGCTTTCAGACTGTGGAAGATAGGATACAATGCATCTGGCTTCATTCATATACCCTATATCTTTTCATATAGTTTTATAGTTCTATAGGTTTCAGAGAAAGAAACCAGGAATAAGACAACTAGATTCGGTCTCCTCTTTTTCAGCATCTGTGTTACGGACTACACCAACTGCTCATGCATTCTGTTTGTCTAATTTGAAGAGTCCAACTGTGAACCTTCCTAAGGAAACAGGGATGCTGCATACTTACAGTTAATATATGCCCATTGTGGTCACTTATTTATAATGTAAATCTTATTGGCCTTTTTTGGTGGGGACAATGGCTAATGCTAGGCACATTTCTGGGAGATGTCCATATAAATGCAGATAGACAAATCAAGGTGAATAAAGTCCACAAGTATTCCTGTACCTGTTGCTTTTGATTGATTTTTTTTTTTTTTTCACTATTTGGATGACAGCATAAGGGGGACTTGTTCTTAAAATTTCAGAGATCGGGGAATCCTCTCCAGCAGCAGAGGTTGTGTAAATTCTATCAGTTCTGAATCACATGTTTGTAACCATAAGACATCTTTAAACTAACCTTAACGTGGAGAAGAAAAAGCTGTCAGCACTGGTATATGAATGAGTATTTGACACAGCTATCTTTGAATGAGTAGTTTTATTTGAAGATAAAAGGAAGTTCACTAAAAGCTATGTTTTCCACTAGTATGAAAGTGAAGATCAAAGATTTTTACAGGCCCAAATCCCCATTCCCCTATATTCTTGTTCTCTACTGCCTGTCCCCTCACTTACAACTCCCAGCATTGTTCCCAGAGTTCCTCAAACCATTTATTTTCTCTCCACTGCTTACCTACCTGAAGCAACATCAGTATATAGCCATTGCAAGTCAAAAGGTATATATACACACAAAGGACCTCTGAGAACATGGAGAAGTAAACTGATGTCAGAGAAGAATGAACATGGAGAAAAGCCTACCCTGTAGCTCGGTGGAGCTGGTGAGGAAATGAGTGGTGGGAAGGAAGAAGGGCATTTATAGGAGGAATGGAGTGGCTTTGCTTGATTGCAAAGAACCGTTTCAAAACAACTGATTTTGCTGATATTGCACAAGAGAAACACAATGCCTTCTTTAGGTATTGGTTCTCCGGGGCAAAGGTGAATACCATACCAGGTGAACAAGTTAGGAACTGAACAGGAATCACTGAAGCCAGCATAATAATAATAATAGTAATAATAATAATAATAGAAGGCAGGAAGGGAGGGAGGAAGGGGAGAAAGAGAAAGAAGGAAGGAAGGAAGGAAGGAAGGACGGAAGGAAGGAAGGAAGGACGGAAGGAAGGAAGGATTATACCTTCATGAACCATGTAAAACATACAAGGCTTGTTTGTACAGTCACTGTTTTGAAAATAATTGTATTTTTGTGATGCATTGTGGCTTTTTTTTTTTTTTCGCAAAGCCTTATGACAACGGATACTGAATTGGAAGGCAGAGGAGCTGTAAAACGGGTCTGTGAAGACAGATGAATCTGTCTCTTTCTCAAGGCTGCCTTTGGAAAAGGTGCTGCAGTAGCAAGCTATCTTCTTTGAACACAAGGCATATGAAGAGAGAGACAGAAAGGTTTCCGGGGAAGAGAACCACCCAGCCAGAGGTGGGAAAAAAGGCTTACTTTGAGCCTGTAAACATTTGAAAAACAAAAGTGGAAGCACAGGGAGAAATCATCTTCTTGTCATTCTCTTGCTTTGCCACACACTGGAGGAATGGCACATTGTTCTTCTGCCGAACAATGCCCCATTCCCACCACATGCAATTTTCTCTCATTGGGAAAAGAATGTGAGCTTTACTTTGCTTTATTATCAACTCTGTGCATGTGGAGATAACTGCAAAGACTGGTTTGTCCCTGAAAGCAAAAATGAATTTTGATCAAAATTGGATTACGGGGCATTTCATTTCTCCTTAAAAATGGTGGTAAACTGATTTCACATTTACTCAATATGCAAAAAATTAACAAAATAAAAACTGCCAAGACTAAATAATGGTACTGAAAAGGAAAATAAAGCCCCCCCCCCAAAATTCCTGAAAAATAATTGGACTGAAACAGCTCTGAGTCAGATTAACTTTAAATCTTCTTAAGAACGATGAAGGTTCTTGCAACCAAAGGCAAGTTATTTCATTAGGCTGATTCTGCATATTTATTTCCCAGTCTGCCTACTTAATGCAATATGTCTTGGTTATTAGGGGCAGATTTTTCTTGCTATATATTAATGACATTGCATTAGGTTTAGAAGTAGAAGTCCACGATCAAGGCAATCACAGAATATTAAGTGCTTAGTCAAGTCCCAGTCAAACTGTGGTGAAATGGGTTAAAGGGAGATGGTCAGAGCTGCCAATCCCAAAATACAACCCAGCCCATGAGCCCATCCTGCAGCCAAAGGAATAGTACTCTTTTTGACTTCAGCAGACACTGTTATGGAAAATATTTCTGTCTGAAACAAAATTGGCCTGTAATCTGGGTAAGCTATTCAGAGCAAACAGTGGCAAATTTAGCCCTTTCTCCTGTTTGTAAATTGTCCATGTATGGACTTTGTTTTTTTAAGTGCCTTTGCACATATTTGCCTGACAAATACTACTAATAAAAATATTGCAGCAGATTGGTGACATTGATTATGTCTTTTACTTTCTGCGATAGATTGTGGTGTATGACTGGTCCTCTAGGTTATGATGCAATTTAGCCATAGAGTCAATATGCTAAAATATCAGTGTAAGATGTACTAAATCAGATCCTTATGAATTTTAAAGACCATGTTTGAAGTTCTTCCTCAATCTGTTTACCAAATCAGTATGGTTGCTCCCAAATTAAAGTGCTGTGCCCTATAAGCAAGAAGATCAAAATTATGAGCCATCATAATCCTACTTGCACCAGTAAATAATAGCTACTTCGGCTGTAAGATGAAAGCAGCTTTGGGGGCTATAGTATTAACACTTCAAAAAGTTCCCTACTGACATCAACTTTCTAGTATTCAAAGTAGTCTAGCACATCAGGCTGTGGGTCCTGAGCTGAGCAAAGTGTCTGGCCTAGATCTACTGAGATACAAAGGAGTTATCCCTTGTATTTTAAAAGATTTGTCTTATATGTGTTTTTGTTGCTCTTGTTTTGTTTTGGTTTGGTTTTGAGGGAATCTTATTGATAATAACATTATAATACCTAAAAGTGGAAAGTCTATGACTATAGCAAACACTGTAGGGACCCTGTATATTAGGGTTGCATACAGAGGCAAATTCCATCCAAAGGTTTGAGAGCTCAGTCTGAAGGTACAGAAACCTTTTGATAATATTTGCTACCCTGAGCCTATATTTTATACAAAAATTGCAGCTTAGGACTTGAATTCTCCACGAAGTGATTGAGGTCCACCTGGCTTACAGAGCAATGGAAAGCCTCATCTCCCATTCACCTGGATGCTCATTTGTACCCAGACCAGCTCACTCCCCTTTCTGCCAGTGCCAAAAGGGCAGACCTCAGGCTGTCCTCACCTTCCAGGACATGACCAGAAAGAGGACCAAAGGCTACACTGCATCCCAGAATAGATATCCCTGCAAATGACTAAAGGATCCCCATACATTCATTATGTCGCGCATGCACATTCAAGTAAGGGAAAAGCTGTTCTACAATTACAAAGAAACTATGTATTACCTGTGAGATATCTGATTCTCGAGCATGTCAAGGAAAGGAGAGCATTGCACGGGTCACGCTGACTCCTCTTGTCTTGACGTTTGCTTATATTTCTCCCCAGGAAGAAAACTTTTCTTGCTGATGTACCAGTCTCATGAAAAAAAAAAAAATCCCCTTCTGCCGACATTCCTTTCTGAGTCTGGGAACCTCTATTGTCTTTTCTCTGGTAATAAATGATAATAATTAAAGGCAAATACACAATAATTAGTCACACTAGGTTTATCCATCTGGCATACCTGTATCTCATCACTGTGTCTTTGAAACAGATGACAAGCACCATATTGCACAACATCCTGCTAATGGGCCTGAGCAGGGAAAAAGAAGGTAAAAGGGTTACCACACACCCAAAAAAAAAAAAAAAAAGTAAAAGAAAAAAAAAGGTCAGCAACAGGGAATGAGAACATTATATAGCATTAAGAAATTAGCAGTGGCTGACTGTCAAGTTATAAACCACTTACTGGCAGATGTGCTTTCAGGTGGGGGTTAGAAAAACATGGAAATATGTGTTACTCTGCTTAAACTACCTCCTGCTTAAAATACACCTGACGTACCTAGTGTTAAAATGAGGAACAGTTCCTGGAAGATTTTAGCTGGATATGTAGATGTATAAGGAAAATTTTCTAGGCTACCTGAAAAGTTTGGGTTTCATTCTGAGAATAACTCATTATGGACCAAGTAATCAGCTAGATTGATCCCTCTTCACTGCGGGCTCATTGATGCACATTAGGAGTCTCTCCATCCCTATCAGAGCTGCCTGAGAGAAGGCAGAGCAAAATTAATACAGCAAAGTATTTTCACCAAATATTTACTCCTTCGGGGGGAAAAAAAAAAAAAAAAAAAAATCATACAAGGCTGGCATTTGATTTCTGGGAGCTTCTGAGAAGCAGAGATTTACTTGTATAAATAATCACAGAGAGCCAATTTCAGTCACATGTATTTAGATTTCGATTAAACCTCCACAAGTGCTTCAACTCGTTTTCAAAGAGGCGGCAGAAACTTTCATGCACTGAGAGCTGATTGTCTGGTGGTAATGATTTTCTGGTCACAGTGCAGCCATGCCCAAGACAACTGATATGGAGTTGGGCCCAGCTATGTTACCTAGCTGCATAAAAACAAAAAAAGCAAACAAAGGCGGTGCCTGGCTAAAGCCTCTAGAGCCTAGATGTAAGACAAGCATCAAATGATTTTGTGCTTCCCTAGATCTAACCTGCCTGAGTCTTGTATAGCTGCAAGCCATAAGTTGGCAGCTTCTAAACCTATAAAAAGTTGAAAATAAAATAAATAAAATTATCTATAATATACTATGAGGCAATCAATAAATCAATCAAAAAATAAATAGATAAAAATTAGACCATTAGTAATTTATACCCATTACTCACCAAGACTTAAAAGAAAAATCATACTTTGGAAACATCTAGCTGAACATCAGTCTGCTCTGTTACCTGAGCAGATTTCTATCTGGCAGGGATTTAGGGAACATCTCAATTTGGTCTTTGTAATGAGCATACCTGTTCTGTAGGTGTTACTGAATCCCAAATCATCACAAGTTATAACGTGCCTGATGGGACTCTTGGCAGCTGAAATTTCCTTTGTTGGGCATCCCAGTCTGAGGAAGAGAATAATGTGATGAACATGGCTAGTTTTACCTGTGCTTACATGTGCTTAAGCATCCAAGGGTTAGTAGAAATGCTAAGGCAAAATTATTTGTTTTCATGTAGTAATTCCAGTGCATTAGGAACTCAGACCTAATTAAGGAAATAAAGGAATTTAAGAAAGCAATGGGAAATGTGGTGTTTTCCCAGCACCTATTGATCTCTATACCTGACCATATTAACTTAAGGAACACATCATGAACTTTGTGGAAGAATAGATTTTTTTTCCTTAGACATCTGGTGTTTATCTTGCACAGTTTTTCAGCCCAGAAGCAACTCATTTCAGTCTAGCTAAGCCTACTGGTGTACATCACACACAATATATTGTGATGTTTTTGCATTAGTCTGCAAATAAGTTGCATCTTCCTCAGCTTGGTAAACCCGATGAGACTCTGGACTAGGGAGTTTATATAAAAACAGAGAAAAAAAATGGAATTCGTTATTAATTCTTCCTAGGTAAATTAACTGGAAACAGCTTTTCAAAATACTTCCTGTACATAGTTTCTATACAAAGAGAGCTTCTCTTGTTTGTTTCTCTCTTCCTCTGGACAGTCCCTAGTGATGATTTTCACAGCTCTTATGGAAGCAGCTCATTGTTCTGCAGAGACTTAATTAAAGTGTACTTCCATATGAAATTAGGCTATTGTATTTATTTAAACTTTATGGTAACTGCTGTACAAGGGCTGTGGCTGTCTACATCCTACACCACACACCCACGTCTGTCCCCACCCCACCCCACCCCATCCCACTGTCACCACTCCCCGAAGGAAATGGGTAGTCATTCTGCCCTGGTTGAACTCCTCATCTACTCAAGTGATGCATTTGAACTTTAACCCATGGACAGCAATATTTGCTTGCCATGCCAGCATCTTTCACAGACAAAAGGTAAGCTGGAGTAGCTCTGGAGAGAGAAATGAATTGATTGTGATTTTCTTCTCTCAAGCATTAGTTGATACCCTTTTGAATTTTTGCAGAGCTTGCATGGGTTTTCACACTTTCTGTGCCAGTCCCACCATCTTTTCAGGGCTAGTTTTCTTCTTGTGATTGAGCACTCCATTGTTATGGGAAAGTTTTTTTTCTTAAAATTGAAATGTTTCAAAGTTAATTAGCTCCAGCCATATCAATCAGATGAAACATTAAAGATTAAAGGTATAATTTCAAAGAAAGCACAATTGCCAGGTATCATTCAAACATTAAAATGTTTGAAAAGCTATGAAAGTTGGGGATGGTTGCAATTCATTTTCAGAACATTTTCCCCTTGAGACGCGTCTGGTTTTCAAAGAGTTGTTAGTGAATCCAAAACAACATGAGGTTTCATTGACTCCAATATGCTAAGTAGAGTTGCAGTGAGGAATAAAAATCAAATAAATATAATTAAAGCATCCAAATGGTCTGATGCCAATGTGACTGGCATTTTTTATTTTGTCCACAGAGAATGAGCTCCCAAAAAGAGTTTTTCCCTCAGCTGCACCAGCAGAAAGGAGCTCAGCCCCTCTCCAAGATCATAAGAAAAGTTCAAATTTCACTGAAGAGAGCCCAGGCACATCACAGGAAGAGAAAAGCTGAGGTTTCTAGCCCATCACTATCAGGATGAAATTGCATTTTCTGTCATACTCAAACATCTTGTTTAAATTAATGTTGCTGCAACACTCTCATATACAGCGTCTTCATATTTAACCTAATTTTTCAGATTGGTTGATTAAAATACAAATGTCCAGCAGATAATAAATCAGTTGTCTAAACACAGATTATAATCCAAGGCCTGTCCACAAATTATCTCGTCTGTTTTCTGCCAGGCCTGTATTTTATGCAATTGATAACCTACAGTTTCTTTCCATCTGAACTGATTATTCTCTTTCACACTGTCCCACAGGGCTGTATGCTGGCCCTCATGTTTGTGAAATGCTGAATTGGCTTCCTCTTCTAAATCAGCATGAGGAGTGAATTATTATTGCAACATCATATCACTATCGCTCAGATTTGCTTTGATTTATCTGCAGGCTGATCCCAATAGCCCAGCTCTGCTTTCCTGCTGGGTGGATGTGTTGATGCAGCTATTGTCCCAAATCTCATGGTAGACAGACCATAGCTGTGCTCTTTCTTTGCAGTTTGCCTGTCTGGATGATGGGCTCCATCCTGACACAGGGGCCACTTTCACCACGCTGGAAGAAGATATGAGAAACCTCTCACTAGTCACAAATGTAATAATTCATCCCCACTGCGAAAGCTTTAGCCTAATTCTTTGGACACAGAGACCAGCTTCAGCTTGAGATTTTATAGTCATTGAAAACTTTTTTAGTGCTAACTCTGATATTCCTCTTCTCTGCATAATTCTCTGATTGCTGTATAAATCTCACTGAAGTCTGACTGACTACCTCTTCCAGCAAAATTAACTTTTCTGACACTTGAATATATGCTTTAGGATTTCTTGCTCTGCTTTTTTTTTTTTTTTTTTTTTTTTTGTTGCAATCACAACTCAAATATCAGTTGTACAACAAAAGGTTGTTTCAAAACTGAAGAAAACACTGAAGAAGCATCATGTTCAAAAGACAACACCTGGAGATGGAGTTTGAGCACAACCTTTTCCAGGTGCTATGTTTGCAAACCAAAGGGTACATATTCCTGTACCTTGAGAGTTCTTCCCATCTTAGGGAATACAGACTTTAGTGGGTACCTGGAAAAAAATGATAGAAAAATGTGTAGCCTGATCTTTTGTGTATTTTTCCCTGTACTGGGCTCAGTTTCTAGGTAGAAGAAAATTTGGAGGATTGTCCGGGTCACATTAATTTAACTTGTTTTTGCTCAATGTCTGTAACCTCAGCTGTTTGCAATCTGTTGCTGTACATTCCTCTTTGCACAGGTCTAAGAAATTAGGACATGAGCTCAGCATCTTGAATAAGCTTCTAGTTTTACCTGCAATCTCTCCTGAGCATGTCACCTCAGCCCCCCCACCCCATTTTTGATTGCTTCATTAGTGCAATCCCTTCTCTCCTCAGAGAAGGGCTGTTTTAATGAGCTTATTTTTGGACTCCAAAGGTGCTGCAAGGAAAGGCAGGGATGACAGTTCTCTTTGATGCAAACCTGATAATGTGAAGGCACTTGCTGGCATATTGTACCTACACTAGAGCAGGGAATGCAAGTGAGGTGATATTTGATCTTCCCCAGCTAGCTCTTTATGATGCTCTTTTTTATACGGTTTGTATGTTTAACGCCAGGCAGTGCTACACCAAGGCCTGCTCCCAGACTGAGTATGGCAGCATTTTAAACTCTCCTATATTACCTTTCAACCCCTGAAAAATGCACAAGGCCACACCTTACAGGACCTAAAGAGAAGAAACGAGGAAAAACAAAACAAAAATCTCAGCGACTATGAGAACAGGCAGAAAACTTCAGCTCCATTATCACTCCCCTTCATCTGCTCAAAACCCCTCGCTGCAGGGGTTGTCATGGTGATGCAGGTTTGACCTCTCACTTTTTACTCTTCCAGGAGCTAAAAAGGTAAAAATGAGCCATTCTGTCTCGAATGAAAATCAACCTCCCTCTGTCAAAAGACGCTGAATTGCTTTTTTCCCCTTTGTCAAACCTGAATGTTTCCATAGGCGACGTGGAAATAAATAAATAACCGGCACCAGGCACCAAGGAGTATCAGTGGGTTCAGCAGGATGCGGCTATGGTGGGAAGAGGCTCAGGATAGGGCTTGACAGGAGTGGTCCATGCCCAAGTTTCCCAGAAGTCATGAGGAGCTGCATCCTGTGTGCCCCCTTCATCCCCGGCTGTCTCTGCGGTTAGGTCCTCGCTCCGCCGGTTGAGCTTGGGGTTTGTGTTTGTGGCAACTCCAGGGCAGAAAAATCAAACTATTGATTGAACTGTGTAGCAGCCTCATAAGGCATTATTAGCAACCTGCTGTAAGTGAGACCAGAAAGGGTAAAATCATTTATTTTTATTAATATTCTTTAGAGTCAGGATTCAGCAAAAACTGCTGTTTGGCCAGGTTGGCAGCAAAGTGATGGCACTGTCTCCTTCTCTCTGGATGAAGCTGGTAATGCACATAGAGTGGTTTGTGTCTGGATGAGGGGGTGGCCTAATTTACTAGGATAGAGCCCCTGTCTGGACTATGAGCCGAAGTAATCTCCTTCTGTCGATTACTTTTGAATCTAAGTCCTCTGCTTTGATAACCAAATCCTTCCCTGCTTGCTTGCTCCCCTCCTCCAGTCTCTCCTCCCACCACTTTCACACAGTGCCAGAGTAGCGTGACATGTGAAACCAGCAGGACTTCAAATCAAATATTCATGTTAATGATCAGCTGGCCTTGAATGAAACATTTGAAGAACCTCTGATGCAGACGCCTCAACGCTTCATATGGCTCCATCAAACCTCTTCCTGCCAGAGAGGCTCCCCCAGTTCTAGCCTAAGAGAAAGTTACTGAATTTATTTGACAGAAGAGAAAAAAACTAAAGCATACATAAAAATACACACACAGACACACATATATATATATTGTGTGTGTATTTATATATCCTTTATATATATAAAGTGCCAGCCTTAAAATCCTGCTAAACTGCAATTGAAGTTTGGAGTCATCTAAAGTTCAAATGTTTCCCATGTCTTTGGTATCAAAGTTCCTGAGGACCAGTGCTGCTGGAACTTCTACTGCTGTACAAGGGCTTCACGGCACCAGAACACAGGAGCCCAGCTCATCTCCAAGCACAGTTATCCTCAGACCAGGGCTCATCTCTCTGCATACCCTTCATTCACACCCTTGCTACTACTTCTCTCTTCTTGCAAATGAGCTTTTAGTGAAACAAGTGAAACAGGCACGGCCTAGTAGTCCTTCCCCCAACACTGTACACACACACCCCAACCCCCAACTACAGTCTGGTGTCTGGAACATCTCCCCCAAAGGCTTTAGGTGCGAACCCCTGTGATGTGAGGGCACTGCTGCCTCCCATATGCAAGAATGAAAAGGCTGCGCTGAATGCCAAACTGCTCCGAGGCCCAAAATGGACAGTCACTCCTTCACCACTCAGCAATGCTCATGGAGGCACTGAATATTCCTACTCATCCAACATATCAATTAGTAACTTCTAGTTTTTTGAGAGCTAATGAATATGTGCAACCCCCATAATGACCTACCTTTCTCCTTTGCAGCCTCCCTCGTGTGTGGCCTTCCTCTCCTCCTCGTGTAGACCAGTAGCCTGGGAGATCTTCGTGGTAGATCCTGTGCTGCTCCCTCTTGCTCATTTCTGCACATAACTGCACGTTTTCATGCAGAAACCCAAACCTCCTCCAACTCCAGCAGTGACCATTGCTCCAAAAGTCACCGTGACCTCTTAATTCATTCAGCAGAGTCATGTCATGCAGGGACACAGCAGATTGCTTCTTTCTCTCAGCTAGTAGGCCGCTGATGCCCTGAGTTATGAAGACAGATGGTATTAGTGCCAGTACGTCAAGAATATCTCGTGGTAGGGCATTCCACAGGTTAATTATACCTGTTAAGCTTTTTCTTTTACAGCATTAGAGCCCAGTGAGTCTGGTTTGCCTCTATAAAAGACGGTTGGCACATTATGTGCAATCCATTTCTCTAGCACAGACAGGCATTTTCTAAGATTAAGCTTTACAGGGAAAAAAAAAAATATCTCAGACATACCCCTTTGTCTTAATTTCAGCTATACCAGAAGCAAATCCACCTCTATTTAGACTTACTTTGGGGATCGGGGGTGATAGGGATTGAAGCATATAGTGCCCTAATCCCATTGTTTTCATATCGTAATGCTCTGGAAATAAGATAGCTGAGGGATGTTAGGTAGGTGCTAACTTCTGTATATTTATGATCCTAGGTACAGCCCTGAAATGCAAATTAAAAAGAACTTCCCCCCACAATCACTTTCTCTCTCTCTCTCTTATCCTGCATTTTCCGCAGCCTGAAAGATGTAAGTCATTAGATAAATGACTGCCAGTGGAATGCTATAGCTGTAACGTAAACTATGAAGACTAAATCCATACGAAAAAAAATAATACATCCCCCAGAGAAAAGTTCTGCTTTTCACATTTAAATGTACTAGTTATCAGCTATTCCTGTTCACAAGGCATTAAAATACATGCTGTTTCCTAAGTCCTGATGCAGCTCTAACTGGACTCAAGCTTGGAGCTAAAATAGCACATATTTTACAAAGTAGTGTAATGTAAAACAGTCGTCTAAACATCTCTCTCCTTACTAGGTCTCTCTAGGGCTTTCTCCACAGAATCCTGCTTCTTCTTTACAGCGTCATCATTTATGTCTTTGTTTATTAGTGGAATGAACTTGTCAGTAATTGTCTTCCCACCAGCCAGCCCCCGTCCCAGCTCCCTACATACTCATCTCGCCGGCTGGGGTCGGCAACAATGGGGAGTGCTCCTGCCAAAGCTGTTTCAACATCAGCCCTTCAGCGTGCTGTGGAGCGAGGAGGTTGCTCCCAGAGCCTCGCCAGGGGCCTCCCAAGCCCAGAGGTCCCTACCAGGGCAGGGCAGAGCCACGGCGGTTGTGTCTAGCCGCCCTGCTTCCCAGAAGTGGCACTGTCGAGGGTTAAGGGCACTTGGCAAGGAGGTCACTGTGCAGGCTGGGTGCCCTGCTCTCTCACACACACACAGACCTGACCCAGCTGGAGGGCTGCAGGAGGTGCCCGGTGGGACTCCCAGGACAGACAGATGCCATGTGGCTTTGCAGAACAAACTTCTGCAGGTTTTCTAGGCTGTGTGACTGCTGGAAGCAGCTTTAACACCCCAAACTGCGAGACATCAGGGTGGTTTTCAAGTGCCAGGACTCACCTTCTGATCTCACTGCTCTAACACACTGGTTTAACTCATACATGCCCTAGAAACACCCTGCAGTCAGTCCGTCCTTCAAAGCAAACAACACTTATTTCCTCCTGCTATTTTTACTTTTAACTCACAGCTTCAGATTTCAAGGCTGCAAGGATGCTTGGGTCTTACTTTGAGTTCTGCCAGAGATTTCCTTTGTGATTTTTAGGTAAACCCCCTTAGGATCTGGCCATCTGGGGAAATTAGCGACTAATAAACTCTTGCGTGAAGTTGCAGGGGATGAGCTGCTCAGCACAACGCCCCATGACTCTGTCCCTGTCCTCCGAGGGGATTCACTGTGTGAATGGCTCGCTGCGGGTTACGAAGTTGCTGCACGTCAGCTGACCCATGGTAGCTGTCTGTCCATGGCAAACGTGAGATAATTTAAAGGAATTTAATCTTTTTTCTTCGCCAGTCCACATGATGAGTTCGTGCAGGGTGGGTAGTACACAGTAAATTCACACCGTAATTTACTGTGTACTAATTTCCCCAAGCTTTTAATTTCACAGTGTCTCAGTTTCCTCATCTGTAAAAGAGAGATAATAAATACTTTCCTTTCTGGCAGGAGTTCTTGAGATCCTTCAGCAGTAAACATAAAAGCAACCATTTTAAAATAGTTACTTACAGAAACTTAATTTTCAGTGTAAGCACTTATTTGTGCCTGATCTTCTACTACAGCAGCATGAGACTAGCGATGGGAAGCAAATAAAATCTGAGAAGTAAATAACCCTGATAATGTGAAAAATAACTAGAATGCTGACCATAATAATACTTATGTGCAACTGCAAACATTTTTAAAGCTTTCTGTTTTTAACGACCTGTGACTCCCTTTAAAATGAATGCACCTAAAATAATGTCTTTTCAATAAGGACACACTAGACTGTTTTCTTTAAAAAGAACACCACATGTAAAGAAGACCTAAACCTTGTATTTCTTGGGAGGCTTTTTTTTTTTTTTTTTTTTTTTTAAAGGAGTGATGCATGATCAGACCCAGAAAACAGTGTGGTTTTTATTTCAGATTTTTCTAGACTGCAATAGCCCAAGGGTCCATGCTATAAACTGGAGGAGTTTGAGGAGACCAGTTTTTAAGAGCAACATGGTAAGGTTTCTGTTTCTGATTGGAATGTTTGCTTTAAACTTTTCGTTTAGGGGAACATTTCAAAACTGGTCACAGTTTCAGCAATGGCTAAATTTACCTTGCAATCCCAGTTCCTGAGATTTATCTTATTCTTTCTGGTACAGCTGAAATATCAAGAAAGGATAATTTGCCTTTAAAAAATGTTCCTCGTGCTGAAATTATGAGTACAGAGTTAAAACTTAAAGACTGTTGGGGTCAGAAAGCAAAAGGAATATCAGGAACTTTATTCATTAATATCCATATTCTGGAAATTCTGATTAACATATAAAATAGAAACCCTTGAAACTTCTGTATATGGATGTGTCTTTTTTTCTTCAACTGCTGAAGAAAACTTTTAGATCTGCTCCTGCTCTACTAACAAAGTGGTTTAAAAAGCAGTTTAAATTGAAAAGCTTTCCATTTCCTCCTTTTTAATTCTTCAGGTATTCCTAAGTGATATTTCACGCAGGCAAAGAACAGTTAATTTCAATCATTGCTTGCTTCCTTGAGAGTTTTACACCGTGGTGCAATTTTGCTTCGTTCTTTACCGTGGAACTCAACTGCCCTCCACTGGATGAGAAAGGCAAAAGCAGGTTTCCTTTTCACTGAATAAATAAATAAATAAATTTAAAAAAAAAAAAAAATCACTGGGAAAAAAAAATGAAAGAAATGAAAGTACAAACTTGGGGTGTACTTTGTTCATTTTGTTTGTTCTCCTGCATCTCCCCAGCACAAAGAGTCCCCGGGGTTAGCACGACTGGAGTTAACAATTCTGAGAAAATACAGTTGCCAAGAAAATAATTTTCACTGTGTCCTGGCCAAGTGGCCGTAATGATGACTGTCGTTTAACCACAACATTTAAATCTAATATTTCTTCCTAGCACTATGGAAGGAAAGAGGGAGAGAGAACGAAACTATTTTGGGGTGAATGGGTAGTGGTCTCGGTTTAATCCACTTTATTGCAATTTGTGGTCCTGAGAGCATGGGCTCTTGCACTAAAAAGCACACAGGAGTCTCCTTTGACATGCTTATGTGAAGGCTAATGTTCTGAAAAACTCATTGAAGTTTAAATAAATAAAGTAAAATCTCTAAGTGTTGACTGCAATAGCCCTAGCAGCAGCAGCAAACAGGATGGCTCCAGCCAAAGATCTTGTCCATCTGCCCAACATTTCGATGCCTCAGCTGACTTGAATTAGGAGAAAATAACTTGGAAGGTTTTTCAGTCCATCCAGCCCCAAGTTAAGGGAGTCCTCTGAAGCAGCGGCTTACATCGCGTAAGCCCATGCAGGGAGCTCCTGGTTATGCTCTTGGTGGCTTTATTAGAAACACAGCGGTGGATCTGGGCTGTACGAAAACCATCCAGGGAGAGTTACAACACCTGACCTCTTTTTGCAAGGAGCAGAAATATTTGGGTGCAAGGGGGAAAATAAAAATAATAAAAAAAGCAGCTGAGAGTGCTTCACCATTCCTTGTACCTAACGTCACCATGCCCTCTACCCCCAAACACACACACCTCCCATGCACCACATGTTGGAGTGAACTTTTGCTCCTCAGAAAATGGGACAACACATTTTCCCATGCAGGCAGATGAAGTTTCCCTCCAATTCCTGCAGCTTGGAGCTGAAGACTGCCGTGTTCGATAAGGTTTAAGATCTCTGGTGCCTTGAGATTTAGCTTTTTGCTGCTGGTGGGGCCCTTGATGGCTGAGCTGCACAGCACTAGTCTGATTGCTGCTCCTCATCGCACTCAGGGAAAGCAGAGCTGGAAAGTTGAGTAGAAATCTCTTTTACAGCCTTCCCTGCTGACGGAGACTGATTTGTGCTTTCCTAGCTTTCTGCAAACGCCGCAGTCCTTGTGTAGACAAAATCCTACCAAGGTAGAGGTTTAGTTTTCCTGGTGAAGGACTGCAGGATTTGACCTTTGGAAGAGTGTGCTAAGTCGTTGCAGTTTTGATTTTGAGTTTAAGCTTTGGCCTGGAATAACAATGACTGTGAGGGAAGTAATAGGTTATGAGCTGGGTGAAATGATACCTGCTTCTTGCCAGAAAAGCTAACTGGATTCAAGCAACTTCTGTCTTCGTTTTCCTTTAAAGAAATAAATAAAGATATTCAAACTTCCCATATGAACTGTAATAATGAAAATAATGTGCGCATTAATTTGTACGGGGGTCAGTGAGTCTCCCCAGCTCAACGGTTTTCAAACAGAGTGCATAGTAAGCCCATAAAACATTTATTTTTCATAATTTATGAAGCATTACATATTGTGAGTCCACAATGCCAGCTGACGTAATATGCAATAAATTTGAAATAACAAAACATTTCTCATGTATTTTCCTCCTGATGTGACAATGTGGGACATAAATTTAAAAGAAAGTTGCCTTAGAAGACAAAGGCAATGCAAAAGAAAAGAATGCTCTTAAATCAATAAATATTCCTATTCCACCAATCACTTACTGAGCCGTTCCCCTGCTCGTGGCTGCGGCACTCATCTTTTTGAAGCCTCTTGCCACCGCTGCTTCAAAGCTGGAGCAAGAGGCTGCCAGGGCGAGTGGCAGCCCCACTCTGAGCTGAACACTGTGAGCTGCAGGGCTGGCAACAGCATTGTAGCATGAGCATGTCCAGGTCCTCCTCTGCTGACCAGAAGCCATCACCCTGCATGGTCTGGGCACAGTTGGAGCAGTCCTGCACTGGGAAAATCTCCTACCGAGGGCTGGCAGGCGAGGGGGAGAAGGGGGGGGGGGGGGGGAGGGGGGGGGGAGAAAACACTAGTGCGTAAAGGTAATTGTCCTCCGAAGCAATTATCATCCCCTTATTCCCAGGGAGAGGAGCAATGAGGGTCTTTGCACTTTTGAAGATAACTTTCTGGGGGTCCTTTGGTATGCATGTAAATATGTAATTGTAGGATTATAATACAGAGTACTGAGTAAAACTCACCTATTGGGCTATCAAAGCCAGCTGATAAATTCTCAGGTTACAGAAGATGTGTTGCAGGCTGAAGGCTGAGACACAGATGTCTGTAAAATTGTTAAATGATGCCCACCAAACACTGAGGACCTGGTGCTCAGTACTGTTTGCTTTTGTTTGGTCTTGTTTTCTTCTTCACAGTACACCAAAACAAGGTCTGCTTGAACAAAAAGCAAGGAAGGGAAAAATTGTAGAAGTTACTTGATCGCAGAACAGGAGAGGAGGGCAGGGAGTAAAGCAGTTCAGGGTCTTTATCTAAGCTCACTACTCTGACTGTCCTTATAAATAAACACAAAAATATTTATAGGTAACAAAGTGTGTTTTGCAATGAAATAATGACCTTTTAAAAGTAAATAAATAAATAAAATTAGTGTTGGTATTTAAAGGGTTTTATCAAACTTTACACAAGAAGACCAAATGGGAAGGAAAAAAAATAAATCTGTGTGAACAAATCTCATCAAAAGTGACATGAAGTTCAGCATCTCGGAGGCTGGTTCTCCTTGGGCAGACACAGCGCGTTCACTGCAGCCGTGCATGCAGGGACATCTACTGGCAGAACAGCCAGAGCCGGCCCTTTTCTTTTCTGAGTACAAAAACTCCAGCTTTGCATGAAAAATCATCGGTTTTAGTGGCAGCAGCAGGTTTTGCCTAATCTGGTAGGCAGAACACATGCAGGAAAGGGAGCAAATGAGACCGGCTTGTCCCAAGGGTAAAATTAAACTTCAGATCCCAGGGTGAGGTGTCCTTAGCTGAGCAACCCTGGCTGAAGACTGTTCCAGGCACACAAGGACTATTAGGACTATTGCAACCCTGGCTGCAAAACTGTTCCAGAAGCACAAGAACTGTTATAACTATTGCCTGTGGAGGTAATAGAGAAGGATGCTGGGTACTTTCTGAATCTCCACTTTTTTAACACTTCCTCTACCCTCACTCCTGCTGATTTGGCCTGTGCACAGAGGGGGCAAGAATAAGGTATGGACCCAGCCCACGACCAAGTTCTCCTGCAGTAGCATGGGGCACAGCAGTGAGATCTCTCTGTTCTTCCTTTCCTCTCCTCCAACAGCAGATACCTCGGGCAAGCAGCCGAAACATTGTCAAAAGTAAAAGGCTCCTTGCCTCCTCTCTGCCCTTTAATAAAACCACAGGAGACAAGACATATTTAATCCCTACTGGAAAGATATGTACAGTGAACTGATTAGATAGAGCAGGAACCAGGCTGACCCTAACATCTGAAACACTGTCTACCCTTCTCAAGACAGGATGAGGATCATGAGCCAGGCAGGCAGAGAGCGAGAGGCTACTTGGAAGTGTTTATTTTTCTCATCTCCAAATCAAGATGAATTTCTCAACTCCTTGTGAGAGTCCTGGTTCTCTAACTCATAAATGGAAAGAAGTAAGCTTCTTCCCCCTCCTTGTCTTCTCTCTCTACATACTGTTTTCTGCCTTCAGGGTATCTGTTCTATACTTCCAAAAAATCCATCTGGTTATTTTACTGTAACACGCTTACCAGAACTGTAAAATCATAGGAAAAAAAAAAATTGAAAAGGACCTCCGGGGGTTTCTAGGCCAACCTCCGCTTGAAGCAGCATTAACATCAACACTAGATCAGGTCGGTGATGGTTTTGTGTAGATGATCCCTGAAAGTCACCAGGGAGAGAAATCCCACCACTTCCCTGAAAGACATGTCCTAGTTCTGTACTGCACTCTGGGTGAAGAAGTTTAGTTCTAGTTTTAAAAACAAACCAGTAATCTCTAGGAGAAACAAACAGTCATTAGGAGTTAAACACAGTAAAGCACTAGACTTGGAGGAATAGTGTAGCAGACCCTTTTTATCTTCCTATACTCCTGCCTAACACGACTTGTTGGACACTAAGGCTCAGCCAGGATGGGCACAGCTCCACAGATTAATCTTCAGTGCATTTTAATGAATAGATCCTCAAAGGCTCCCTCTGTGAGCAGATGCTTAGGTACTTGACTTTCTACTTGAAGCCATACAAAAAATAAATCAGTACCTTCTTAAAGTCAACTCTGATTTTATATGACATATATGAGATGAATCCCCTACTAACCTGTCTGTTTCATCAACTAGAGATGTTACTTGAGTTAAAAACAGCTGGTACAGCTGGGGTACAACAAGTTAGACCTGCTTCAGAAGAAGCCTTCTACCCTGTGACTAGGAGAACTTTCTGTTTGAATAATGTAGTTTTCCTTTCTGGGAAAATAGAAATAGAACTAAGCAGCAATGCTCAAAGTCCAGTTTGTACCTAGATTTCAAAATTGCCCACTGGATTACTTATACTTGAGCTTCAGTTCAAAATGTGTTTTCCTGCAGAAAGGCCAGAACTGGATTTAATCTGGGCTTCTATTGCATTTCCATCACAGAGCATGGGAGTAAAAAGGCCGAGATGGCACGAGAGATTGGGCAGGAGAGCAGGGAAACAAAGAAACATGGAGAAGTTTTGATGGATACACTGACAACAATATACAGTCCTAAGATTAGACTTGCATAAATACCTTAGATGTGGTATCTCTAAGACCCACCCCAGATCTACCCCAACCATACTCACCCTCCCTCTGATTACACAGGGGTTTCAGCAAATGCATTATTACAGGCTCTTCCCAGAAACCGCTGCTGAAATCCAGGCAAGTGATTCTTCAGAAGTAAACCACTCCAAAGTCTTTCACCCAGCTGACGTTATGATGATCAGAAAATGATACATACGTGTATATTCCTTATGGTTCTACACTTCATTTAAAATGTTTCACCTGCTTTTCTTTTCTCCTTTTCTTTTTTTTTTTTCTTTTTGTTTTCCAGTCATTACACAAAGTCTGAAAGATAAAAGAGGGAATTCATTTTGTTACTTTAAATACTTATCTCAAGCTCTCAGTTTGACTTTGTCAAATGCATGCAGTGTGCTAAAAAAATGCACAAGGGAAAAAATCCCAAGAATATAGCTAAAAGATTGTAAGAAAAAAAAAAAAGGCAGAAAACAACAGCAGATCATAGAAGTAGTGGTGTCTGAAAAATGAGAAACAACAAAAAAAGCACAGAGCTATAGCATGGTAGAAGAAAAAATAAATATACCACATAATTTATTGCAGGGAGAGTTCTGAAGAAAATGTCTTGTGAAATAAATATAATGCTCATGAGGACAAGAGATCTCATTCATATCCAATCTGTCTTGTGTAAAGAACTAGGCAATAATGTTCAAGTAAGTGAGTCACTGCGAGATCTCCCAGTTCGGCTGAAGATTGCTCAATAGAAATAATAACAAGCCACAGAAAAAAGACAGTGTAAGTACAGGTGGGAAAGAGATACAAACTCAGAGCAATAAGTACATACAAAATATCGAGAGATTGCAGGACAACGTAAAGGCATGATACGTGTTTTACAGTAGTCTTACAGACTACTTTTCCTTCGATGCCTCTTTGTGACAGTGAAGATCTGCTGGAGAGCCCGGGCTCACAGCCTCCCTCTTTTTGTGCTCAGGATGGCACAGACATAGACAAAGCGGGCTAGAGGGTGACTTATTTATGGATCTGGGGTCAGGACTTTCTCTGTGAAAGTTCTTTGACTCTCTAATCCATTCCTCACAGTTAACCACCAAGGCTCAAGTCCCAACAAACACCAGGAGCCACCACCAACCTGTTGGAGGAGCAGGGGATCTGATGCTAATCTGTCTGCAAAGAATGGTGGCTCAGGGCCTAAGGGCTTAGATAAAAATGAATGATACAGATTTACTATGCAGTAGCTACACCTAATATTTAATGTGTGCCCACATAGTCTTCCAGAGGCAGGCTGTAGGGTTTGAAACAACATCCAAACAGGGCCAGCAGCACCCAGGAGCAAAGGGTTGCAGCCACATCAGCAGAAGTCTCCATCCAGACCAGTGCACCCTTGGGAGACACTCTCTTGGGGGTGCAGGAGCAGCATGGCAAAGCCCCCAAGTTGAGACAGCCCAAGCATGGCGTGCTGGCAGATGGGCCTGGGGTCACTGGCCAGCAACAGTGCTGCCCTGCCTTGCAGGCACGGTAACGCCACCCACTTGCAAATCAGCACAAGCTGCCTGCCAGTGGGGCCGCATTCAGCCTGCCTACACACAGGGGCTCTTGAACAGTGCCTACAGAAGGTGTCTGGGCACCTTGTGCAGTCAGAGGAGAAAAACACATCTTCAGCGAGTGATTCATCGCTCTCTAAAATCTGAGCCTAGTGGGAGCATTTCGACATACCCAAGTTCATTTCCTCCCAAAATGCAACAAAACAAGCTTTTAGTTATTTTCTTCATTAACTACTTCTCACCAGTCCCTCAAAAATATTTGAAGGGAAGAAAGAAAAAAAGAGGAGGAATTGCATATCTTTGATGCAAAGCTGCCCTGGCTATGGGCTTTAAGCTTTGTCAGGGGTGAGGTGGGAAAGGAGAGAAAATTAACGGGATGGCAATAGGATCCGCTGATGATTGCATCTGAACAGAGCTTTTTCCAGCCCAGGATTACAGGTCTAGAGCAGGAATCTCCTTGCAACTGCTGTTTTTAGCTGCTGCAAATGTTTGCACAGCCAGGCTAGGATGTGGTAGGAAGACTGTTTTGTCTGTTCTTGCTTCCTCCTCTTCCTCTATTGCTGGAACTGAGGCAGCACAGAGACAGCAGCAGAAGTAATGCAAAAAACAGCTGCAGGGAGAGGGCAGGGAGTACGCAGAGGATGGGACTGGGTGGACAGGGACAGGGCAATTCTGCAGCTGTCTGACACCTGCAAAGGGTCCTCACCCTTGGCAAAGGGATGAAGAGTGTGTCCCAGCTCAGGCTGCTGGCTGGCCCAGCACACCCAGGAACTCCTGGTAGGAGGCTGAATTGTCAATTTAAAGATTAAGATTTTCTGATAACCAAGAGTGTTTCAAGAAAAAAAAAGTTATCAACTCAAATTTGAAAAACATCCTCTTGTCTGCACAGTTGTCCTTTTTCAATCTAAATTTGGAGTTTTGACTAATTTGATTTTTTTCGGGGTACGAGGGCGGGAGGGTATTTTTGTAGAAGGTAATGTATATCTGAAGTGATACAGATTGGTGCTAGAGCCAAGACGATGTTATGATGTCAGAACTGTGAGTGGAAAGACTGAGAAATAGAAAACAACAACAACACCTAGGTGACCTGAGCAAGGTTAGAGCATGAGTCAGCCACGGAGGCAGGCAGGGAACCCACTTCTGCTCTCCAAGTCACAACGCCTGTGCCTTGGATTTCACTAGCTGCAAAAATACACCACCAACAAGGATCCTGGAAAATAAATAAATAAATAAAAAGCATTCCCTTATCGTGAACATTTGTTGAAGCAGTTCAGGCTGCTACTATGGAAAATTTTGCCACGGACTGTATGTGCAAACAGCACAGTGGATGATAAATAACAGGCAATGGAAACATTGCCTGTAGGTGTGACCGTGTCTGTTTTAATTGAAGGGATGCTCTTCAGTGGGGTTCCCATGGCCAGCTGAAGGAGTCAGCTTGGGGCTGTGCCTGCTCAGTAGCACAGGCTGCTGTGGCCAGTGTGAGTACAGCAAGTAAATGTGGTGATGGCAATTAAACAGACACACCAATGGCCCTGAAGGACTTGCTAGCAAGGAAACATGTTTGCAGCTCTGCATCAGCATGCACAAAACTACCGAAGCTTCAGACTTTTCAAATGCAATTAACGTGTCTTTCATTTCATAACTCTGTAAGATCTCCTAGCCTGTTCTTCAGCCATTGCAAATATTCCCCTGGCAGGGGATAAATTACTCTTCTTTGTACATGAATTTTGCCTGGTCTTATTCTTTTACACTTCCAATACTAGGGGACGTATCTTCAATTGGTGTGAATTGGAATATCTCAGCTGAAGTCAATAGAACTATGAAAGCCTACACAATATTCAAGAAATTATTTCAAGACATTAAACTTAACAGTTTGACTCTTGAAATCATGGACTTAAATGAGAGAGAATCAAACAAGACCTCACAAATGTTTAAAAGAGATGTTTCTGACTTCTATTTATAACAAAAATCCCAACACCACCTTGCACAAGTGATCTGAATGTGGACTGAAGATTTCAAAAGCATGGGGAGAGGGGGAGCAGCAATTTTTAGCATCTTGATTTTTTCAGACTGGCTTCCTGCTGTTTGAACGCTCTGTGATGACAATACAAACAGTAGCTCATTTCTCAATCAAATTCCACCCACATCAGCGTGTCACATTTGTGCATGATGAGCAGGAAAGGGGTGGTGATGGGGCGTTATATACCCAGGGGCATGCATACACACAAGACACAGGTACAGCAAGCCACATTTCAAGCCTTTTTGCCTTCATTCTTGTCCTGAGTACAGGGCTGGATCAGCAGGGAAGGAGGTCACCACGTCCTCTGTGGCAAAACCGCACCTAAAAAACTTTCTCCACATCCTCCAATCTTTAAAAAAAAAAAAAAATCAGAGGCAAAGATTTATACACATACATATTTGATAATACTGGATGATAAGGATCTGAAATAAGTCCACTAATGATGACATTTTCATTCTCGGCAGAAGGTGAAGTGAACCAGAGTGCCCTGATGTCCCCCCAGCCACACAGGGCAACCACTGGAGCTGAGCTTTGAGACCCAGCTCCCCTCGTTCAGCCACTGTACTGCAATTTTTCGGGGCATAATTGCCACATCACTAACGATGAGATGATTTTACATGACTGAGAGACTGCTCTAAGTGCCCAGCTTGCAGGTTACATCTCACCTGCAGGAACTTAAAGACTATATGGACATTTGATTTCACGATTCATTTAAAGTGATCCAAAATGCTGCTTTGAAGCTCCCCTTCCCCCTTTGCACCTGATGGCTGCACAGTGAGCAGAATTATCCTCAGCACGTCACAATCCAATGGACAGAGATGGTTTGTAAAAGCTGATAAGCCTTGTTAGGGTTGGCAACTTTGCATGAACTTCAGTGATAAATACTGCATTTGTGAAATGCCAAATACTGCTGGAATGTTGGCGTGAGCACGACAGAGATTACTGCTAATGTGGGAGCACGTAGGTACACTGTGCAGTAAATTACAGCCGATATGCATCCCCTTGCTGTGAAAAATGTTGGGTTTTTGAGCCAGTGGTATTTCCTATGGCACAGTAAACAGGGATCTAATAGAGCTAACAACTTGGATTTAAATTAACGAAGCAAGAATGATGTGATGAGACTCCTGCGTGACTACTGAAGGAAGCGATTGTCAATATTTGTTCATGGCTCTCACTCATGCTTTACCTGCTCTGGTGAGGCTGTGTGTTTATGGACACATCCAGCCAACAGCTAATGACTAGAGAGACTCCTTTTCCCTCAGTTTTAACAAAGAGATGACAACTCCAGTTACTAGCAAACTTTTGAATTCTATTTCTTTTTCTTTTTTTTTTTCCCTAATTGATTAAAAGCAATTTCAGAATGATGTCCTGCATGCAGATGAAAGCAAAAGATGTTCTGAAGTGATAAACTTCTCTGTTGTGACCTGTGCGATTGAGATCAAGGAGAATTTTGTCTGTAGTAATTAACATGAGACATAACTGTGAATGGGAACTTGCTGTTTTCAGTGACAATGTTGTCTTCTGCTTCAGGGCGAGACGCCCAGGGCCAGGATCCTGGGGAGCCCCCCCTTTGCTTCAGTCTGGCTTTTAACAGGTTGGGAGCTCTCTGTCTCTCACCTGGTAGAGAAGAGAACAGAGGTCAGTCTCACGCAGGAGCACAGCACCTCTGAACACAACTTCCACCATCTTGTGAGATATTGGGCTAAGGGAAAACACTGATTGCCCAGAAAAAAGAATAATACTGGTGGCTAGATTAAAGGTATTTCATGAGCACTGCCTTTCATGCTGACAGCTCTGCTATAATCATTCCCAGCGTACCACTCTGCCTCTGTCAGTATTCATCTGTTGCCAATTGCCTTGTAGTTACTTGGTGAGAGTGTTAGTTGGGGACTCTTCTTTTGTTCCTTGGTTTTACAGCCCTCAAACACAAGGGATCCTGTGACTGGGATCTTGAATGCTTTGAGACACGTAATAAATAATTGTTAGCTTTCCAATACCTGAAGTATGCTTTGCAGTATCCTGAAGCTTGCATAATCTTCTTGCATAGCAAGAAGATTACTGATATTAGTTAATTTGCTATCGAGTGGCTTTCATGCAACAGACCCTGGAGATTTTACTTCCTTTGCCTTTTTTTTTTTTTGATTTTATGGTTTCTGTTTCATTTTTTTATTATTATTATGTTGTTGTTGTTTAATTACAGAATGGAAATGTACTGGATTTAATCACCAAACTGACCAAGCCATAAAAATGGACTGAACTGGGTTAAGGCCCCTTTACCAGTGTGTAGGAGGGCATGCACTGTGGTCTATACTACATCCATTCTGTGCAAAACATTTGCATCTTCATTTTGTCTTTGTTCACCAGATTAACATTTTCTACACAAACTACTCTGCATGAATGCAGCAATCCCCACCTTGTTCATATTCCCTTTCTTCTGGCTCGTGCCTGGTGCAAAGTGAGCAGCTCCTGAGATCCTGCCCCTAGCTAACATTAACACAGGCATTGCAGAGCTGTGTAGGGTAAGAGAAGTATCCTCCTTGCCCTTCCCCATTTAAAACTTCATCATCACCAGTACCAAAATAACAATGCAATCAAAAAACACTGAAAGATGCTCTCACTGGTAGCTGACGTGACCTCCAAGCTCAAAAACAAACCACAGCACCCCTTTCTCCTGATACTTCCCTACATCCTCACCCACGGTGCCCATCAAACAATTACTCACAAACCCCATCTGTCAACAGTAGGGTCTGCAGTTCATGGAATCTGCCTGGCCACGGTGTTGGATTACAGAGGCTCTCTGTAAACAGAGGTACTTTGAATGACTCATCTCTTACAAATTGCACAGGGAAAATGAAGGCTACAGGAGTGAGTGACATAATTGTAAGACAACAATTACAAAGGCCCTTCTTTCACTTACCCTGACACTTTCCAATGAAGCTAGAGTTTCACATGCAGTGCCAGGGCTGATCAAAACTTCTTGTACATTTTTTTCTTAATTATTTGCTAGGTATCCTTGATGATAGGCAAATTTGCATCAGGGTGGCTTAATGCCTCACAGTCCTGTATGCTGTGAAGTCCAAACATTCTTCATCCAGCAGAAGTTGCTGATATTGATAATTAACGTGAAGCATGAATAAACACAAACTCTGTTTTGCTGTTGTTGTTTTAACATATTCTCAGTTTAATGCCCTCCATCCATTTCCTTATCCCACCCTCACCCCCCAAAAAAACAAAATGAATAGTACCTCAAGGCTCACCAGTATGAAGTTGTTAGGGAAAATCTTGCCTCTGTCTTGCAGTCTGTCTGGTTATGTCCTCTCAAGGCAGCACTTCTGTATTTCAGTCCTATCCCTGGGAAGCAAAGGTCACAGTTAGACTAAGTGTCCAGATGTCAAAATAAAGGTACCTAAAGGTACCACATTTGTTTAATGGCAGTTGGAGTCCAGAGATGCGTTTGGGATCCAATGATGGTTTTGGTTGGTCATACATTCCATCTACTTGTTGTGTTTCCTATCTAAACACTTCAGAGTCTGCCACCATGCTCGGGGCTGATAGCTGTGTGTAACAAATTAGGAAAGAATAGAGAACATCGTAACAAGAAATTGTGTTGGCTTGGTGCATGATGCCCTAACAACTTCTTTTGCTCACATGGAAAAGATATGAGACTTTTGTAAAGTAGAAGTCAGCACCACCGAGGTCTTAATTATATAATGAAACATTCTCAAAGCCCTCACATTAGCTCACTGATGCTTAGTGGAAAAGGCATTACCTAGCAACAGTCACTAACAAATCACAGGAAAAATAATAGAGATTATATGCTACATCATTCTACAGAGTCAAAACTGGTAGCAAGATGTGCTTGCCCTTTCACTTCATGTGCAAAAAATCTATTGTTTACAGTTGTGAGGGGGAACGGATGCACTTCAGAGAAAGACAGACCAGCTAATCTTTCATTAAAAAGTGATCTTTAAAAGATGCCCAAAGATAGTGAGGCTTGTTAATCTGGCCAGAGACAGCAGACTGCAGTCCAGGTATAACAGGAGAAAAATGACCTCTTTTCTTTTTTCCTCAAAGAAATTGTTCCTCATGTGTCATCCATTCTCAGATGCTTAATTAGAAGGATGAGCTGCTGGTCTAAGAGCTGGCCAGGAGTTCTGCTTTGAGCTGCCGAACACCCATGTCCTGTGTGTGGCTTGGGCAAGTTCCATCATAGAAGTCTGGCAATACCTTGAGCACCAGGGTTTGCTGCATGGTGCCTCTGCATTCATTTCCCCCTTACTTCTGTACACTGCAGTGGCAGAAACTCTTAGAAACTGCAGTGCAAAGGACCACACCAGCACTTAAGACAGTTATTAAAACCAACCCCATATTGAAATGCATCTAGCAAAGAGAGAGATGGGTTTTATTCCGAATTATGCTTTGTTAACAAGTTGTTAGCTAAGTTCTCACTCCAGAATATTTAGAGCCAGCTAAATAATATGTGTCAAATCATTGATCTGACAAGTTTCACAACTTTTTTTTTTCCACTTTAAATTTCAAATATCTATTCAAAAAATAGCATGTTTGGTTTTTCGCTCAGCTTTAATTACCAGCGACAGCAGGGGAGGGAGAAAGAACAAAGCTGAACGCATAGATCCCAGAGGGAGTTTGCCATCTCTGACCACTAGGGGAAAAAAAAATGCATACAGCATCTCCCAACTTGGAAACTGAGCCCACTTAGCACGAAGGCCCCAGGAAGAGGCAATGCAGCCTATATGCTCTACTAGCATCCCTTGAGCTTACTTTGTTGATTGCAGCTGTAGCTGGCTGCTATGGCAGAGAACCTTGCACAGCAGGATTATTAGAGACAGAAATTCTGCAAGGGTGCGGTGTTGGATCTGTTGGGTATGATATGGCTGATGCTGAGGGGAAACTGCAGCACAGATTTCCACTCTTTATTCAGAAAACAGTTCAAAGATAGGTGCAGGACTGTGATTTTCAGGGGTGAGACTTTTGCATATATACATATACGCATACAGACACACATGCCACACATCTATAGAGATCTGCAATATTAAAAAGTAATTAAAGTTTTTCTGGCTGCCCTGTGCAATACTCAAACAGTCAGCAGTAGCTCAGAGCTGGCATGTGGGAAGCTATTCCCTGTCTCTTCTCATCTCACTTCTCAGTGGATGCTGTTAAAAGCCACATTCATGACACTGCAACTGAGCCTATGCTCTGGGCATCCTCCTATTTTAGAGAGAGGGCAGCAGGATTCCTGTGCAAAGCTGAGAAATAAAGGTGTATTTCCTAATTCAGGCACCTTAATCAAACATGCTTAATTCAGTTAAAAAGCCCACAGTAGGCACAGCCTTTTAGCAAGTTTGGGTACTGTAAGTTTAGATAAGGCATAACTTGCTGTTAGTAAAGACCTGTGCTCTCTGACAATCCTTCCTGCTTTTGGAGCTCTCTGACCAAACAGGGCTGCCGTGACGATGGTGCTGCTCAGTGCACGTGGAAGCAGCACAACTGGATTCCAGCTCCCTAGTAATTATCAGGTATACACGAAAGAGCCAATCAAGCACCCAAAAGGACAGGCTGCCCTCTGCTCCCCCCGGGTGCAGCTGGCTCCTTATTTCAAGTGCAATCTTAAATTACAAGGAAAAGGATTTGCTGCAGAAGCAATGTTGTTTGGTATCAAAAAAGATTCCTCCTTCATTCTGCCCCCTCCCCCTGCCTGCTTTTCATGTTTTATACAAAACTTGCTGCTCTGAACACTCCTGGATTTTCTCCCCTTTTAATAATAAAGAAGTGAATCTGATGTCTCCCACTGATGGCTTCCTAACCTTCAAAAGCATGTGTTTATCATGAGTTTCAGCTATCCAAAATAGTTTTGACCTGAGGTTACAATGCAGGCTCAGACCTCTTCGAAGTAGGTTAAATGGATGATAAGCAAACATTTCATTACAGCCCCTCAGTTGTTGTAAGGATGTGCAAATCCCCAAGAAAGATTTTCAGCATATCCTCTGGAGCCATGCGGTGCTTTGGACTTGGGAGGTTCACTCAATCAGCGCCCTGCTGTCACTTTGCCATCAATGGAGAGGTGGACGGCCCCATCCTGCTGCCTCACCAGTGGCTCAGAGCCACCTGCATGCAGCAGCCTGAAGTTTCAAGCCTCCTGCTAGCTCCACCCCAAAATTAGTCTGAACATCACTATGCTGAACCCATTGATTTATTGCTGGGCTGTGTCTCAGGTGCAAGTGGTCCAAAACAGACTATCACTTCTGCAAGGTGAATAGGCACTGCTGTGAAAGCGACACTCATTTTACGTGTGTCTTATAATAATATAACAGAGATGATGGTCCTAGTGGCTAAACACATCCCCATTCCAAAACAACACACACACAAAGCACCACGTACGTCCCCTCTCTCTCAGCTCAGTGTCTCCTTCATGATTTTATCCAAACAACGTCAAAGGCCTTCACTCACATGAATCCTGAGCTGTCTGGCCAAGGATCATGCCCCCTTTCTCCCCATTCCCACTTCTCTTCTACATTCACCCCAAACAAGAACCTGAGTTAATTAATGAATTAATCAATGACAGAGAAAAGTGAACCCTGAGGACCTGCAGTGCACATCTGAGATGGGCACCTCTGGTGACTGGTTGCAACAGCAAGAGGGATGGATGAGGGCAGACCTCTGTGTGCTTGCTCCATGCACTTACCAAGCCATGCCCTTATATCTGGTCAAGCAGGGAGAAAAGAGCTGATCCAATACAACATTAATACAGATGCAGAGGTTCAGCTGTGACTGCATGTGGCCATTTTGAGGGTCAGGCAGACACTGGGCCAGGTTGTTTCTTCTCTGGGTTGTGTTAAACTTGTTGCCTGAAAATGTTTAAATCTACTCTGGAATACAGCAACATAATTTTATTTCTTTCCCCAAGGCAGTTGATATTCTAAGGACCCCTACACCTTTAGCTGCCAAGTTCTTTGATCAGCCAACTGACGGCCACTTTAAGACAAGGCTCTGTAAATACATGAAGAATATTGCACTATTGCTAGCAAAAGTTCCCATGTCCCCAATTCCATCCTAACTTCACCAAGGCTATCAGTAGCTCTGCTCTGCGACAGCATGAATGACACGTTGATACAGCTGTGTCACCTTGCTCAGTTTTATCTGTCCCCACCAATTACCAGCCTCTTTACTTCTTCAGCCCAAATTATCCCTGCTGTAGGGCTGTCCATAGCAGTGCCAGGCACAGCCCTTTATTACTATTGGTACCATTGGGATGAGCATGGATTTACCTATTCTTGCAAAGAAAAACGTGCAGGGATACATCTAATTATGCCTTGCTAAGTACGAAATGTCCTTCTATTTAGCAGATGCTTGGGCCCTACTTTGACCTAACACTGAGTGTTTCAAGTAAACTGCCAGCAGCCCCGTCAAACTGTTGTGGGTAATTTGGAGTATGAAATGTGTTAAATTATTCAAAAAGCTGAATAAGCATAAACAGGCAGTACAACAGGAGAGATATGCATACCCAGCGATGCTGGTGTGACATTTAATACATCATATTAGCACTCCTGTTAGTACAAAGAGCTGGATGCCTAGCACAGCAGCCTGCAAATTCACAGGCAGAACACAATGTAACTGCATTTTGCCCCCTATAGCCCTCCTCCAACTGTTTCCCTTTGCAAAGCTAGATACGGCTCGCCTATAACCAAAGGTGAAAGTAGGGAAGCAAAATTTGATTCCTCCCTCAAACAGAAAGTGCAGCAGGTCAGGCTCACCCACCTTTGCTTCACACTGGCATCAATCACTGCACTGATAGCAACTGTCTGATTTAGGGCAAGGGTGTAAATCGAATCAGGATCAGGCTTAAAACTGTATGATAGTGGGAAGCGGACCCCTATACAGACAAACTCTGCTCAGTAATAGAGCTAACGTGGTAAAGAACACATGCAGGCTCATAACACATGTCTAGCTCAGAAATACATACAAATCCCCGTGTCCTAGTAAAAGCTGACACTAATTCAAGACAAAACCCTACATTTTATCTACTGTGGAAACAGTCCATTATTTCTTATCCTTCAAAACAAAAAGCATTTTCAGGTTACGGAGTATTTCTGAGATCTCAAGGGATTACACTGCAGGGGATGAATGAGATGCTTCTGTAGTCAGGGTTTCGTGATGGTGAGCACCAAGGGGAAGTGATACTCTCTACTTTGAAAGCTTTTCCCCATTCTCAGGGAGAGGAGGGAAAAAAAAAAAAAAAAAAAAAAAAAAAAGCACTGTGAAGTTTGGGCCTGGAAACCCAATCTTCATTGCTTGGTTTGTCAATGAAAATAGAAATAAAACCTTAGAAAAAAAAATCCATAGAGCCAACTCATAACAAATAAATGGAATGATCTCTCCTGAGAGCAAATGGAAGCCCTAGTGATGGAGTTAAAGCAGCCTGGACAAAGCACTCATGGATGTGAAAATACTGTCAGCAATATGCCTGGATCAGCAAGAGATGGACTAGATGACCTAAAAGGCCTTTCCATGCCATTTTATTTTTCCCCTCCTATTTTTTCTTTTTCTTTTTTTCCTTCCTTCCTCTCCACAGTAAGGGGGGTATGATTACTTTGTTGATTGCTTTGTACATGTGGGAAGTCTGTGTGTAAATGGTTCTGAAGTAGTTCCCTGGTTGCTATCCACCCTTATCATAGTCACCATTTTCTTTTGTCACCATTTTCTTTTTTTTTTCATCTGTTTTGGTTTAGTTAAAGTGTTCTTCTTCTAACAATTTTATAAGGCTGGAAGAGACATCAGTACATTTTGCCCACTCCTTTGAAACAAATATATTGCAGTGTGTTTCTTGGCTCTCCTTTTGCTTGGTTCTGAACTCCAAATAGTGATAGCCTTGGATTGCTGAGTCCATCTCCATGACAAATGTTTACTAGCTTTGTTATCACATGTGCTTTGTGAGAGTATGAGGACTGAAAACTACAGAGCTCAGTGTTTAAATAGTGAATGGGAACTTGTCAGATAGACACTTGAATAAAAAAAAAAATATATTAAAAAAAAGCATTTAAATTTGCAATCAGCCAAATTTTGTTCCTTCTGGAGAGAACTATAGAAAAAAATAAATACTATCTTGTCAAAAACATAACCTCTGCCTATAAACACAATGGAGAAAGGCAAATATTTTGAGGGGAAAATCTAGATTCAAATTTTAATCTTTAAACAAATTTTATTTAGCAAATATTTTAAGACATGTATTTTCCCATGGAAATAGCCAGCTTGTATCAATTATTTAGGAGTGTTTGTAGGAAGCCAGCTTAAATTCATAACAAGGGTATCAGTTCAAAAAATGTGAATCTAAACATCAAGTCCAGTTAGTCAGGGAACTAAAACAAACCACAAGACCTCTGAATCCAAATTAAACCAGATAAACAGCATCCAAAACCACCTACTGAAATTATGTGGTAATTATTTGAAATTATGAATTTATAAAAACAATTGTTTGCCTTCTCATAAATATGAGAAAAAAGGGAAAATAAACCCTTGATTCTCCATTTCCCCTGCTACTTACAGCAGTCTTTCTGATTTAAGAAGGGTCACTTCTCTGAGCCAGCTTGAGCAGCTAAGCTCATACCCAAACTGGTAATGGAAAATCATTTTGTGAGCCCAGACTAGAGATGGTGAAAGACAAATCCTTCTCCAAATAAATGTAGCACAGAAAACTAGTGAGCAGCATCAACTATTTCCCTCTGTGGAGTAGCTCATAAGGTGTTCTACTTATTGATATAGATGCAGTCCTTCTATAGGCAAAGAAGCCAAAGGAAAGCAGCGGAGGCAGTGAGACCACTGAGGACAAGCTGACATAACTTGGAAGCCAAAGTAAACTCAAGGGTTCATCCACTTCCCAGCACCTCAGCAATAAAAATAAATCCCATTAACTTCCATTGCAATTGAATTCTCGCTCAGCTCTGCCACAGTAGCCAACTCCTATTAGAGAAAGGGCACATCAAGTGTTCTCTTGATCTCTGCTCCAGACTTTACATGGCACCAGATGACATGCTCAGGCAGCAAGAGACCCAATAGGTTTGTGAGATCCAGGATTTCACTTCAAAAAATTGGAGAATCTAGCTGGTTCTGCACAGCAGCTGAGTCCCTATTCCTTGCTGACTTTATATGCAGCAAATATATTGTATAAAATATGGTGGATTTATTAAAGAAAATGCAGATTATTTCCTTTTAAACATTTTCAACTACCAGCTAAATTAAATCAATTCATGAAAGTTAAAAATGACAAACTTTCCAAATTTATTTAATAGAGAAAAAGAACCTCAATAATCACTGCTATGATTTAATGTGGAAGAATTGGCAGGGTGAGGGGGAGATTGTTTCAAAGTGCCTCCATCCCTTCAAGGAATGTGACTGCTCCATTTTATTTTTTAACTGATGATCATTCTCACAAGCCCAGCTATTGTGTAAGTCACCTGGAACTGGTTTCAAATGTTTAACACTATATTGCAGAAGCCTTATTACATCTGGCCTCTCTGTAGCTCTTAGTTCTTCCTAATGGGTTCTACTTCAGGACATTGTTTTGTTTCATTTGAAGGGGGATGTATTTCTTGAAGAATTTGTTAATTTTTCCTGAAAAAAACAAACAAACAAACAAACAAAAAAAACCACTATCCAATGCTAAGTCCCCACTATTTCTTTACCACTTTACCACAGAAATAAAACTGTTTAGGTCATTCTTAATCATAGCACATGAAATTAGAGCAAAGAAAAAGTACCACAGCTAAAAAACTGATTAACTCTCTCTTTTCTTCCTGCTTTACTGACATGGCAGATTTTGCAATTAGTTTATCTGCATCAGAAAAGTTTTGCTCACGGCTTTCTTTAATTTATCAATAGCTGATCTCAGTAACGCCTGTAAACACACTTCATCTTGACTACAGGATCCCAAGAAGAGCCAAAGCTCGACAAAAATTATGGAAAGCTTTTGCAACAGCCTTTATTAAGCAACTTTCAAAGAGGTCTCGTTTTGAACTTTTCCTGTATTTAATGAAGACAAATCCAAAGTTGAATTGTCCTAAAGCACTTTCAGTTTTGCTTTCAACTTCTTACTCTCATTTCTTGTTTCCCATTAGTGAGTGAATACAATAGCAGTAGGAAACCAAAATACTCAATCATAGTGCCCTTTCAACGGAGTGTAATGATGTTGAAGGCTGCATGCACTATTAGGCAATGCAGGGTAAATAAACCTCTGCATTAATATAATAATCCAGATTTTACAGGTCATTTCTGGGAAAATAGTATGCACATCCCTGCAAGTTTTCCATAGGACCACACAGAATTATCATCATTTGGCAGAACTTTCTCATTTAAGTCCTAGAACTGTCATTGTGAAACAAATCCCACTTTTCTTGTTGACTGAGGTAGTACGGATCTACACTGAAAACTCTCCAGGGACTCTGAAAGGTTTTTGTGCATGTAACAGCACATCTATCTAATCTGCAATGGACTGCTCACTTAAGAACACTAACTGATAGAGATAAGCACAGGTTTCCAGTTTCTTACCTGGAGGGCAGTGGTTAGGTGGTTTATAGGCAAGATGACCTCACGCTGCTGCCAACTTCATCCTCTTACTCTGGGCGCTCACATAAATGTCTGAAGTTGTACACATCATATTAGCAGTCACTTGAAATACTGGCCATGCTATCCATTTGCCTCTTTCACAGGAATGTGGTGGAAAACAACGGGAATGTATTCAGTGCTTTCAGCAAGCGCTAAGGAGAATGAGGAAAACAGGGTGAAGAACACACAGTAACTTCATTAGGAGATTGTATTGCACAGGTCCAGTTTGCTCTTGAGAGAGCAAAACCAGAAAACCTGAGTCCACTGGAATCATTCAGAAAAAGACAAGAGTCCAGCTCATCTAAAGTATTTCCTAATCATTTTAAAGATATTTCATGTAGTCTGTTTAGACGATTTAAGAGTTTGCATCAAAGCAAATAATCTACCATACCTGATGTGTGGACCCTCCAGATTCTTTACCCTTCCTTTGCCCATCAGTTCTGTCTGGCACAGTAGTGCAGCTATCTCAGATCACTTACCCACCCAATGGGAAGTTGCTAGACATGGATATGGAAAAAAAACACTACCAGGATGATCAGGGTAAACTGTGACCCCTGAAATTACCAGCTGAGCTGAGCATATTCTGAAGGATCCCGTGTTGCCACCAAGCACAGGGCACAGTGCTTTAATTTTCAGTGTCATTGTTCTTGGTAAGAACCTGGCCTGGGCCACACCAGGTTCAGATGGCATTTGGGCAGCATCAGTCCACAAATGGGTGAACAGGAGGTGACACAATCTCACAGCTGGGTACAAGGGAAAGATGCTGCATGTGAATTTTATGTTGATTCCAGAAATTTTGATCAATCCTTGCTCCATTAATAAATGCAACTTTATCTACAATAAAACATACTGCAAAATCAGCTTAGTATACTCAGCCTGTGCTTTGCTGATCAAAAGAAATAGATAAAGCACTTGTGGTTAGTTTGAAAAAGTAACATCAGGAGGGTGAACATGGTACATGCCTGACATTTTTGCCATTACTACTCTATCACATGAAGACTATCCATACTTGTAAAAGAAGGTATTACAAACTATATATCCAAGTTTTCCATGATGCCAGCAATTGTTTTAAGCCTGTTTCTTGTGCCTTTTATCTCTCTTACAAATCTTGAAGGGAATAGGATTCATCAGTACACAAATGGCCTTTATTTCTGGCTGTTAAAAACCTGATGATGAGCAACATTTCCAAGGAAGAAAAAGAAGTCAATTTCCGAAGCATGTGCAGAGTTAATGTCTACAGTAATTGCGACTAAGTACGGTAGAGCAGAGATGTACTGCCAGCTGGAGCCAGGGATTAAAAAGGAAACATCTGTGCTGAGATTATAGGAACAGAGGAAGCTGTGGGAAGGAAGGAAGCGAGAATGCCCATGTAGGTCCACCTACCTCATTTGAACTTCTCCTTTTCCCGATGAATTTTTGTTTTCCTCTAGCAAAATTCTACATATTTACCATCCTGTGTGCAAAAAAAAAAAAAAAAAAAAAAAAAAAAAAAAAGCCTGTCCTATTTCTCTGCTAATTGACCTTTGCCTTAGACTAACCTCATGACCACACATTAGCAAGATGAATCCTGAGCATTGGAATTTACGTACACACTCACAACAGAGCAGGCTAGCAGGCTTTTAGGTAATTTGCTGAGCAAAGATGACTTCAAGTGTAATGACTTGAGGTGAAACTTTTGGCTTCAACCAACTTACACTGAGTCTAACTTTAGACATACAAGAAATTCCCTTAGTGGTACTATATGCAAACTTAAATTTACACATGTTGAATTATTTAGTTAGTCTAGGAGCAAAATAAACAAGATTGCAGACCAATAGCAATATACTGCCCATTTTATCAGAACCTGAAAACATTTTAGATATTGATAACAGGATATGTTCTACATTCAGCAAAATGTGCTGAAGATATGTCACCTTCAGATCTTTTTTTCTCCCCCCCAAAAAAATCAGAATATTGTCCTTTCTTTATGAGCCCTCTTACCAAAGTTCCTACTAAAATAATGGTACAAGTCCACAGGAGATGCATTCTAATAAAATAATTAAAACTTTTTTTTTTTTTATCCCTCCCAGTCTTCCCAAACTGAAGTTTCAGAAGTGCATGTTAGATTTGCAGAAACTGACTGTTGCGCAAGACAGTTCAAAAAGAAATTAAAGATCTCTTTGCATTTGTGTTATTTATATATTTTCTTTTTCCTTTTTCCCTTCTCCTCCCTACTCCACTTGGCTTTGCACTCCTGTTCCTCAGGAGCTTTGGTGAGGTGAAAAGGCAGATATGAATGCATTGAACAAGGGGAGTAGCCTGGAGGAGAGGAGGGGAAAAAAAGCAAGAAGGGAATTACTCTTTTCAAAAATAAATAAATCAATACAAAAAAGCACAGAAGTATTACTTTAAAAAAAAAAAAAATCCCAGAGCCGGCACACACACTCCATTTCTACTAATCGGATTGTGATGTGTTTGCCTTTAATATGTGCAGCCAGCCCCTATGCCCGGCCTTGTGCACATGTCATGTCCTTTTAACATCAGCAGCCACTGGCCTGATTCTCAGACCCTGATAACATGTTCCCAAGTAGTATCGTGTAACGGGGGAGGAGGGGGAGAAGCTGGGGAGAGGAGCCAAGGCTGGCACAAGCTATCAGCGGCTTTGTTGAAATGCTACAGACAATTCTCTTCTAATCGCCAAACCTTTCACTTAATTTCAATTCTTTTTGTTGTTATTGTTGTTGATACGTCAAACAGAGGCTACACTGGCCATAAAACAAAAGGATGGATTTGAGGTAGTGCTTTTCCTTAATCCTCTCTGCTCCTTGCTCACTTGTTCATCCTGCTTTCAGCAGATTTCCAATATCATCAGTTTCTCTGAGTGTGTGTAGTTTTCTGCTCCTTTTTGGAAAGGGAAGAGCTGACAGGCTCTGGAACCTAAAAAGCTTTAATGGGTTTAGAACAGAGAATTTTGGAAAGTTGTGATGGTATAGATCAAATCCTAAAAAAATGGTAGCAAGGCAAGGAAGCTTGGAATCAGCAGAGGGGACATCTGCTTGCTCCATCCTGTCCCAGGCCAAGTTCCCATTTAATATGAGACTTTTGAACTAAGTCTTTCCACTTATTTATTTTAAGTAATTTTTAAAATAACTTTTTTTTTTTTTTTTTAGAATAATTATTTTAATAGTGGTGGCAAGCTAGCTGACGTGGATGAAACCCAAAATATGTTCTACAGACTATGTTCTTGTAGCATTCATTTGCTTTTTACAGACAAGAAGATACCCAAACACAGTCTATCTCTGAATTGTGACACAATCCTGATCATCCTCCAAGAAGCTCCACAAGGTTTGGACTCCTTGGATACGTGGTAGGAAGTAACATGCCACAAAAAGAAATGAAACTTAAAAGAAGGGTGCAATGGTCTTTAAAAAGTCTTCCTCTTCTCAAAAAATCCCAACCTCACTCTTGAATTACACATGAACAATATTCACCTTATTTTTAAACACATAGATGCCTCTACGCAGGTTAAATATCAAACTAAAACATATATTGACTTCCTGAGTGGTGTATGAGCAGGAGTCAAACAAGACCTGGACACCACAGAACAGACTGCACACTTATTCTGGAGCCACCTCCAGCTGATCATTTTGCCTCTTTTTTTTTTCCCCCCCTCTCACATTTGATTTGTAGAAAGTGAGCAGAGAAGTTTGATTGGGATACATCAGCCTGCAAATTACACTGGACTTTGAGGTCTCACTGGTTGAATCTCCAGGGCTTATCTGAACTAAGTGCACATTGGGTTTGCTCAATGGAACTTTCTAAATGTAGTTTCTTACAGTGTTCCTGGTGTGTCCATATCAGTGTGAATAAGAGAAACCTTCTGGTTCAGTGAAGATACAAGTTTGACTGCAAAGTTACTCTGTCAAAATCCACAATGTTTCTGCTTAAAAATGAATGAAAGGACTTGCTGGTCTTTGACAAGGCAGAACCAATAAACTCACCAATGGTGGCTTTTCTTGAAATCTGTGCTCCTGGATGACTCTCAGAGATCAGTTCTTGAATGTCCTGAAAAACAGTGAATAAAACCACAGTTCCATCCAGAAGAGACCAAAGAGGAGATCAGATTCATGAATCCAAGCTAGAGAAGAGAGCTTATGATCTTCCTCATTTCAGTGATAACAAGCACCAATGCATATTCCTTTCTCTTATAGAAACCTTCATGGCACTTTTCTCTAATTCACAGGAGAAGGCACTTATGGAGGTAGCCTACATCTTTTGTTTTGGGTCCCCAAGGAGCCCGGATGACCAGTCAGGCAGGCACCTACCTTTACCGTTTCTCATTGTGCTCCTGGTTAAAGACAATTTTAAAGACAAAGCAGCAGCTTTAAAGGTGCAAGAGGAAATATCTGACGGCTGGTTCTGCATTTTTGGGGCTGGTGTTGTAGCCTGCATAGCTTTTGTCATTTCATACACCTGAGCCAACAGTTTTTAAACTGCTCTGACCATCTCTGCAGGCAAAACAAGGTAATCCAATGCATACAACTAACTAGATAAGAGACACCACAGAGAATAGAAGTGCACCAGCATGAACTATTTCACAGACAACCCACAAATGTAAATTTATAAATATCCTTGGGAGTGGGGAAATCGACTAGCACATGGGAGCTGAGCACTCAACTTGCTTTCCTCGGGAAAAGTACTAATAGCAATAAAAATATTAAACCACTGGGAACTACTGAAGAAAAAAAAAGAAAAAAAAAAAAAAACTAAAATCCTTAAAAGAGTAAGGACCCCTTGACTGATGCAACTTGAACCATCAATTAGATCCACCCTTGACCCATGTGTGATTGGCAGATGTGCACATCCTGAATTCCTAAACCTCTTTTGCAGCCTACTTGTGTGGTGCTCACTGATACCCACAGGTTCTGCTGCTGTGGATTCGCATGGCATTGCCACCAGCCACCAATGCTCCCCAAATCTGTGAGCTGAGTCTCTGCAGCACCACATACCAGGCATAAGAACAGCTACCAGTGTGCTCCTGCCAGCAAAGCCCTGCAATTCCCCTGGCAAGGGAATAGTTTCCCTTTTATCTCTCATTAAAGGGGATCAGGTGTTTGCCCATGAGAAATGCACTCTGAGCTACAAGATTTTTTTTTTTCTGCTGAAATATGCCCATAAACTAGATATGTGTCTGTTTAAATAAGCATAAAATTATGACTGTCCTGCAGCAAAATGAGACAGCAGCATTCAGGGTAGTGCAGATGAAAAAGCCCATTCTTCTCTCCTTCCCTGACTTTGCTGGTGAACTTTGGGCCTATTGAGACTTTTCAAGGACACACAAGAAGGGGCTCTACAGCTGCCAAAGACTTTTTAGAATAACCTTTTAGATGCATTTAGTCAGAAAGCAGCTGTGTAAGTGATGTGATTTGTATTTACATGCACACATAATGTCCCTAGCTACTGTGTGAAGGCAGAGCATCTCTCCCCAGGTCTGAGAATACACCCTGCACTTTTCCAGACAACAGAAAGGACTTTGCTATTCTCTGAGACGAGGCTGAAGAGCATCATTATTGCACTGGCTGCAGGATCCTCCTGTTCTCCAGCCTTCTCATTTCAAAGCCTTTCATTTCCCGAGACAGCTGCAAGGTGTCCCTTCAAGGATTTTGCTTTTTTGATTTATGCTTTTATACGCTCGAATCTCAATTGAGATATCCCAGCCTCATTCCATTTCTGACCTTACACCATCAAACCGGGCTGACCCTCCATCTCTCAGGCCTGGGCTGGCTTCCAGCCCAGGTTAGAGAAGAGCAGGGGCAGAGCTGCAATGCAACCCATCAGCCAGGTCCTGAGGAGGTGCTTCGCATAAAGCCACCGCAGAGCCCAACCGCTTGCTGCTGGCCACACGAGCTCTCCATCCTCCAAACTTCCAACATTTTGACACACTGCTTGCTTTGCATTCTTTTTGTTCTGAGAAAATCCTGTCCAGACCAAGCCAAATGCCCCAACGGATGGCATGGAAGTGGATGACATGGGATTGAGATCTGCAAACAATACTGAAAATTGCCTTTTAAAATAATAATTATTATTATTTCGGCTATAAGCAAGCTTTTTGGCAACAAATTAGAGTTCCTGACGGCCAGGCACCTGCTTCTGGTCATTGTTCTGCCTCTACCACACCTGTAAGCACGTGAGCATGCAGTGAGGATATCCAGGTATTTGATCCCCTCCAAATGCAGCCAAGAACACCCAGACAGCAGTGAGACAACGCCCAGAGATTGCCACTTTTGTGCTGATGATTCTGCAAGTGAAACACACCCCAGTGGGATAAATAAATAAATAAACTCTCATTACAGCATCATTTCCTTTCCTTTTCTTTGTTAAAAAAAAAAAAAAAAAAACAGAGAAAAAAAAGACCTTTACTGGAATAGCTTCACTGTCACACACTGATTAAAAAAAAAAAAAAAAGAAAGAAAAAAAAGAAAAAGAAAAGAAAAGAAAAAAACTTCCTAACAAAAATCCTTTCACTGTCAGAGAACCCCTGTTCTGCTCTACATATGATGCTTCCATCAAACAGACACCTTTAAAAAATCAGCTGAAAGGAAAAGCAACTCTCATTCAGGAGAAACTGAGGCAATTTGAGACCATACACTCTGCATTAGCTTCCAGCTTTGAAGCCAGTTAAATACACCTCTAAACAGTCCTTAGTACTTGCTTAAATAATAAAGGAGAGAGGGGGGAAAAAAAAGGTTTTGAAGCTGGAGGTCTATAAAATCTCTATTCCTGTCCTATTCAAGAGACACCCTTAGCTGCTGCTGATGAGAGCAAAATTGGGAGCAAATAATACTACCATCCTCCTTCTTCAGTAATGCCTTTAAAACATATAAGTGCCAGTTGAATTAGCCTATTTATAAGACTTCTTTTTTCCCCTGACTGTAAACTCCTAATGACTCTCCGTTACACAATGCAATTCAATATGACTCAAGCTTCCAGGGGTCTTGATCCCCTCTAGATAGTGTACCACAAAAGTGATTTATAAACTACAGTCTGAGAAAGTCAGAGACTGAAGTGATTTGAGAAAATAGTTCAGGCTTGTAAGTGAATACAAGTGCTATGAATTCCAATGACAGAATACACCCCCAACCCCCAAATCTTTTCCTATATTCTCATTTCATACAGCAGAGGGAAAGGTGGTGTTGAAGGAAAGGGGTGGGGGGCAGAATAAGAAAGCCCAAAGGGAATAAGAAAAATAAGAGCTGTATGGCAAGAGCTAAGTCATACACCAAAGTAAGCCTTTTTGGGTATGAAAAAGTGTAACAGGAGCTTTTGCATGGCAGATCATATCGATCATATCTGTGAAGCTGAGCGGTTTTGAATGGGACACTCTGTGGCTGAAGAAGTGCTAGAGAGGAGGTGGCAGGGAAGGAGGTAATAAAAGCAGAGACCACTGATAAGCTGAACTCAGATTCCACCCCAATAAAAAAAATGAGCAGTAAATCTATATATGTGTGTGTGTATATATATATATATATTATTTTTTTTTTTTTTTTTTTTTGTGAAGGACCCTATGTCTCAAAAAGTTATTTTGGATGGAAATAATCCCAAAGGACAGTTTCTTCTTGCAAGACAGATTTTCCCATCCAAATTTCAGCATGGGTTTGTTATTTTGGAACCTGTTCCCTTCCCCCTCTCCCCTTATCGCCTCTCCCTGTCTTTCACACTGAGGCGCTTGGTCTAAAGACAGCCAGGGAGCTAAATATATATTAATTAGAACTCTTGAGGCTGCCATCAATGAGATACAATTATCCCAAACTGTTGCTATTACAGGCTCTGATAGCTTCATTTAAATTCCTGAATAAAACATGAAATATCTTTAATGAGAAATGAATATAGTTGTCAGGAGGGAGTAGTTGTGATATTGTTACTAGTTGAGATATAGAAGATGAAGACATAATATGAATACCTTCGATTTTATACAAAAATGACGGCTGTTAGGAAGAGACAGATCCCCCTTCAGAGATTTCATTTAGGCTGCATATCAAGAAAACATATAAAACAGCAAGATCTCTCTTGCAAGGAAACTCTGCTGTCCCAGAGGCAGCTGGCAGTCCTGCCTCTGTGCAAAGTGTAGCTGGTACAAGGTGTAGTGGCAGCAAAAAGAAATGCTCTACCATCAAAGTGAGATTAAACAAAGCACGTCATGCTCAGCAAAACACTCCTGTTGTTACTCGGTGGCTGAGCAGGGTGCTCAGCATGGAAAACTCTCTCCCACACTCTCTCGTGCACTCCCTTCTTTGTCTTTTTTCTCTCTTTTTTTTTTTTTTTCTTTCTTTCTCATTTTTATTATTTTTAAGACAAATGCCAGTGAGGGAGCAGAGACGTGGTTCTCTCTCCCTTTCAAGGCGACTGAAAGACACAAGGCCAGGCCAGTGAAGAGCAGTTCTTTAAATCACGCTGTCAGGGAGATGGGAGCTGCAGCACCTCCTAATTCCTCTGCAGTTGCTTGATGGACTGCACCACTCGCACTAAAAATTCACCCTTGAGCTGCAGCAGAGGTCTCCTCACCTGCTGTTTGACTGAATTTACAATGACTCCCCCCTTTCCGTGCAGTTCATTTATTTGTCCCTCCTTTGGTTAAAGTGAGCTCTTGGATTTTCCATCCAGAAGTGTTTCCAAAATAGCTCACAGACAAGGGGCAGCTGTGAGTCCCTGATGGAGCCCCAGGTCCCTGCTCCCATCAGACCAGGCATGCCAAAGCTCTCAGCTCTGGCACCGCCGCTGGAAAGCAGCTCTTTCCAGGGTGGAGCACAGCAGCTATGTAACAGTATGTACCATCACTTGCACTTGAGTTTAGGTCGCAAAGTGGAGATGATTATCATACTAATTGAAAGGGCATGGGAAATATTAAGGAGGCAGAACATAATTATCCAAACTGGAAATTGCCAGGTCATTCCCATTCTTGGAGGATCCTCTAGTGACCACAGAGTATGGTCAGGACCTCAATTTAAAGTCTCAGTACAAGTGGAAGTTTGCATCAAGCATTTTTACATTAAATCAATTAATATGTA